CTGTCTCAATCAAACGGCAAAGATCGTCACAAACAGACCATACTAACAAGCCCACTCATTAAAGCCTGCCAAGTAAACAGTTAACTTGAAACTCTTTTCGTACAAATACCAAACCAAAGATGTTTGAACTTGCGTTATGTACACACAACTTTTTTTAATATAGAATAGGGGGCAAACGAGCTGGGTCACGTGATGGAAAGCGACTACCGACGCCCATGAACGCCTGCAGCTCAGGAGTCACAAGCGCGTTGCCGGCCTTTAAAGGTGTACGCTTTTCTTGAAGGTTTGGAGTTCGTATCGGTCCGGAAATACCGCAGACGATAACTTGTTCCACAGATTGGTTGTGTGAGGCAGAAAGTGTCTTGAAAAGCGCACAGTAGTGGATCGCCAGTTATCCAAATGGATGGAATGAAAGTTTTGCCGTGTGGAGCGATGGCGGATGTTGCGGCCGGTATTAGTCCGAACAATTCCTTGGCGCACTCTCCATGATATATACGATATAGAATGTAGAGTGCAGCTACATCTCTACATAACGCCAAGGGATCGAGCCGGTCGGAGATCTTTTGGCTATCGACAATTCAGGTCACTCTTCGTTGGATACGGTCCAGAGGGAGAAGCTGGTACTATGGTGCCCCCGCATAGAGATGAGAATAGTATTCATAGTAAGCACTTACAATCTTATTGTGTGAATCCTTTTCATATTTATTTATTTTTTTATTTTTATTTATTTATTTATAAATTTACACACACAAACTTACAGGTTACATCTTTAAACATCCATATTAATATGTCTTAAAATTAAAAGAATCAAGCATCTGAAGTCGAACTAGGCGAAGCCTGTATTTCGACTATCAGCGCCAACTCCCCAATTGCACATTAAGCCTTACTATTATATATTGTATGTAAGCTATACAATATAAAATCAATCCAGTCTGTGCATGTGCTTGAGTATAATGTGGTCTTGTGTGTGTGTGTGTGTTTATGTGTGTGTGTGTGTGTGTGTGGTGTGTGTGTGTGTGTGTGTGTGTGTGTGTGTGTATGTTTGCAACTGTTATTGAATAGTGTTCATGAGTTTTTCAGTCTCTTCATAGTCTAGTTTTTGCAGATATTTAATCAACTCTTTTTTGCACTGTGTGCCCGTTTGCGGATAAATATTGAGAACTTTATTGATTTTATTATATAAATGTGGACCGTTAAAGTCAGCAAAATGTCTGCTAAATTTAGTTTTGCACCCCGACGGAAATTCACACACCATATATTTTCTACGTCTCCTTAACAACTGTGGATTATAGGTCATTTTATTGTGTTGTAGCATTATAATCTTCAATATATACAATTGTCTTACGGTTAGAACTTCGCACAGTTCATAAAGTGCCGCAGTGGGATAGAAAATGGGTTTATTGTTGCAAACCTTGAGTACTGCTCTCTGGGCAACTTCAACGGACTTCATTACGGTTTTATATGTGCCTCCCCATGAGGTAATACAATATGTTAGGAGCGACTGACATAGCACATAATATATTTGCTTCATCAACAGCGGTTCTGCTACTGATCTCAAGTTCTTAAAGACATAAATGAGTTTACGTGTTTTGGCGCACAAGTGTTTGATGTGCTCTTTAAAGTTGAGATTACTGTCTATTATAACACCCAAGTACTTTATCACATTTACACGCTCCAACGATGAACAGTAACAGTCAAGTCCCAAGGAACACTCGTGTGAGACAATATTATTTCTTCCAATAATCACGGAACTACTTCTTATGCTGAAGCAAATATATTTTGTCTTGTTTACATTTAGTGTTAGAATATTTCTTTGAAGCCATTTCGTAACAGTATTAAAACCCTGCTGGGCAGCGTCAAAAACTTCATCCCAAGTGTCAGCGGCAAAAACTAGGGCTGTGTCATCAGCAAAGGAGATGATTTCGCCTTGGGTAAGTTTGAGTTGTGTGAGCTCGTTTATATATACGAGGAATAAAGTGGGTCCTAAGACGCTGCCCTGCGGAACACCGTGAGTAACAGGAAGATATGTACTTTTATACTGTCCTACTTGAACACGCTGAACTCGCCGAGAAAGGTAACTTTTTATGAGTGCAAGTTGAACACCTCTAACTCCGATTTTCTCGAGTTTGTTCAATAAGATGGGAACAGAAATTGTATCGAACGCCTTAGCTAGGTCTAAGAACATACTTATACATTTATTTCCCTTTGAGACGTTAGTGCTTGCAAAACCAATCAGCTTGTTCACAGCATGTTCGGTACACTTCCCCGTTCGAAATCCGTATTGATTAGGTGATAAGAGATTGTGTTTTTCAAGGTAGGCTTTTAGTCTAGTATTTATTATTTTTTCTAAAATTTTTGAAATAGCCGGTAATATGGTTATTGGTCTGTAATTACTAATACAACTTCTGTCACCACTCTTGTAGATAGGATACTTCTGACCTTTTCAGAGAATTTGGGAAAATGCCAGATGTTAGACAATCGTTGAAAATTTTTGTCAGAATAGGTACTAATGTGTGTTTGTGTTGTTTTAAAAATTTGCAAGAAATAGTATCGTTTCCTGAGGCGCAGTCTGTTTTTAAGAGAGTAATAATACTTTGTACCTCTTGTTCGTCGGTGTCTAAGAGTACAAATGAGTTACTTGGACTTGTTATGTTTTCCTTTATATTTATTAAATTTAGAGCGTGTGTGTGGGAATGTTTATTTTTTTGGGTAATTTTATTTGCCAGCAGGGTCCCAACATTCACAAAGTGGCTGTTTACTTCTTGCAGTGCCCGTTCAGGTGTTGAAGAGAGGGTTAAAAGTTCTTTAGGGGGTGTCGTAATTTTTGTAGTGTTGGTAATGGTTTTAATAACTTTCCATAACTGTTTGTTGTCATTTTTCACAGATTTAATTAGTTCCCTTTCATACCTTGTTTTGTATTTCCCTACTTCTTTTTTTTTAACCCTGTTTAGAAACTTAACGTTTTCTGGGTGTAGTCTCGCGTTATTTAGAACACCACACTAAAAACAATAGGATACTAATAAAACTGTGCTATTTTATATGGCATACTTTATTCCATTAAATATATGTAGCCAATGGATCTATTAGTATTATGGAATGTTATTGTGTTTGTTGATTATTATGATAAATACAGAACATTAGATCAGCAGTAGCAGTGGTAGACTACAGCATTAGTATTATACACTCCAGGTGCAGAATCTTTAGACATTGTGTAACATATGTGTCTAATGTAATTGGAAAAAACTATAGTAACCCAAAAATTTTTTTGTGATAGACTGTTGAGCCAGCTGGAGTGACCACTGAATACATAGGTTATATGTATATACATAACTTTTACAGTAAAGGCATAGATAGATTAATTTTAATTTAAAATAGTATATAATAGTAGCTACTTCATTGAAAAATATTTTAAATATGTTCATAAATTACAGTAATTAGAAGAAAAAGAAAAATCATATTAATGAGTGTTTACGACATTAAAACCGCTACCTTTAAGTGCAAATAATATCAAAATAAAATGGATTTGATTCATTTATTTTAGTTCTGTGTCGCCGCTATCATAACATATCTATAATATCATAAGGTTTAATATAGACATACACTATATTATATTACAATGGTTTATTGGTGCGACTTTACCTCATAGAATGGTAGAGCTGGATTGTGCTATGTTATCCGAACGCACCAAAGCCGTCGTGGAATATGTAAATGGCAAATTTATAAATGAACACATTAGTACCAGCCATACCATGCGTTCGGTGCTTGACACAAGCAATGAACTATTATTATCCTTATCTTTGGTGCATCCACATAATTATTACTTTCATTGAATAGTGTTCGTGATCATAAAATGATATTTTCAGGTACTTATTTATCTTAAAATGTGTGTGACAACAACATACGAAAAAAAAGCTTTGTTGTAATTAATATAAAATTGATACTTGTTCACTTGCAAAATTAACTATATCTAGGTGTGCATATTTTGCACACGTTAAACAATCTAGGAATGAAATTTAATATATTAATAATTGAAAACAGTAAGTTAATAACAAATTAACAACAGACTATAAAACAAAAGTTTAACTAATTTTAGAATGTTTTAAATAAGTATTGCCCGACGCTATGTTCTAGTTAATTAATGTTTTGTGAAATATATGAGTCCTTATGCTATAATGCAGACTCCATTTACTTAATCAATATTTTCAAACAAGTGGCAATGCAAGGCATCAGATCTTGAACTAGGGCAAATGTCAACTGGAATAATATATAATAATAATTGATAAAATTATAATTTTTATAAATAATATAATTAAAATTCATAATTATGAAGCACCTTTTCGTTATAATTTTGTATATTTGACTAACAAAGTTGTAGGATAAAATACACCTCAGCTCATGGGCTTAGTGTATTTAAGTTCAAGAAATGACACCTTTATTTGTACCCTGTACATATGCCCCAGATCATTTAAAACAAGACAATATTCACAATAACTCACACGCCGTTTCCAAAGGGACTTGATACGTTTAAAAAAAATGGTTCGTTAAAATTAGTCATAAATTACTTAAAACAAAAATATGTACAATCTACATTTTGTACATGCTATATACAGCACTTTATTAGGACACCAAAGTGTAAGTAATGAAATGATCACAATCACGCGTTTGAACACAGTAATTAATGGAGATTTCGTAACAAATTATTCTCGTTGTTAGAATAATATAATTGTCTATCAATACTCATCTAAAAATCTTATTGAAATAAAAACAAAAATGATTTTTTTAACATACATATTATATCACAGATACCTAAGGAAGATATTACTTATTATATCTAACGTTAAGGTGCTGTTTACAGTCCTTAAACTATTTATTAAATAAATAAAAAGCACACAATCTCAAAATCCTATTTCAATACTGTTAAAAATATTCATGTTAATAGCTACATTTCCGATTTTTTTGTTCATAAACAAAGTCATATTTAAAATTCTTCTGTAACACATTTACACTTGAAAATAATCACTGACGGTGGCATCTCCGCCGTTATTAATACTGCTTCTGGGCTCGCCACTGTTTGGTACATTGATCTTTTCATATCCTGCTGATGAATCTGACCTCTCCACACTAGAGCCCGCAGTCACTTCACTGTTGACTTTTTCATACGGTGGCTCTTTCTTCGACATGTCGAAGTATTTAACGCTTTCGTAGTTCGGATCTTTTTTAGAACGCACCGAATCATATTTTGGATCTTTCGATCTTAGGGATTCATATTTTGGATCTTTACATCTTAGCGACTCGTAATTAGGATCTTGAGTGCTTACACTATCGTAGTTAGGATCCTTCGGTCGAACAGATTCGTAGTTAGGATCAGATTCACTGCCTGTATTATATAGCGGTTCATGTGGCATAGATTCATAATTAGGTTCTAAGGTGGGTTCGTCGTTGTTGTTTCCAGTCCAGTTGTTATATTTGTTTGGCCTTTTGTTTACCGTAGAATATGTTGGCTGTACTTTGTAGTTCGGTGCGATGGTCGAATAAGGCGGAGTCGGCGGCTGATTTCTCAATACTTCATAATTTGGATCGGAGTCGGAAGCATTATTGTCAGTTTTGGAAATATGCTCATATCCAGCGTCACTACTGACAATACTGTTAGGACCACTGTCTGCTACTAAATGATTTAGTTTCAACAAATTGTTATTAGTAAAGTTTGTGTTCCCACTAGCATTGTTTAATTCTCTTACAGTTTCATACCCTGGATCCTGGTTTTGGGATGACTTTCGGTCTTTATGGGCTATTGTCTCATACCCATGGTTGATTGATTTTTTGCGATCAATCGTCTCGTAACCAGGATCATCACCGCGAAATTTCGATGTATGAGGTTCTCCATCGCCTCCTGAAAAATCCTTTGATCGTCTAACAGATTCTTCCGTTCGACCTTTGGTTTTCTTCATTACTTTAGCATACATTTCTTCTACATTTCTTGACGGACTTTCGGTTACTCGATGGTCAGAATTTAAACTTGTGTTAGCATCCGCCGAAGAGTAGTCACTATAGTTTGGACCATCAATAGAATTGTATAAGTTGTCAGTTTGGCCGTCACGTTGATCAATATCGAAGTTCAATTCCCTGGCGACGAGGGGCCGAATCAGATCCCCAGAGCTAAACCTGTGCTTTTCAACAGGGTAGTTGCAGCCGTAGAAATCAGATGAACTGACACAACTGTTGTTTCGTTGATGTTTTTCGTTAAGACTCCTTCGAAGTTTATCATGGTTGAAGGGGAGGTCGCCTGAAAGCAAGATATTATCGTTTAGTTTTACACTATACGCGTCATCGATTGTCAGTTATAGCCCTGGTAAGTTAGACAGGTTATGACTTTCATAATAATCAGAAGTTTAAAATAAGAAGAATTTGGTTTGGCTAGTTATTTAGTTATTTAATGGTGGTTCATTAAAAAGTGCAAATGTTAGTATCAGAACACATTCCTATACAACACACTCATGTAACAAACTTGGTAGAAACATGATATTACAAAAACTATTACCCGTACTGGACATGCGCTGATGCCGCTGAGCTTGTTCAATAGCGGGTTGGCGTAATACTGCATGGACTGCAGCGTGGGACGAAGAGTGGGACGATGCGTGAGGCGCGTGGGACGGGACGTAAGACGAATTGTGGGACGAGTTGTGGGACGGCGCGTAGATGTTGGCCTGCGAGGTGCCGTGCGGCCCGGCGAGCGGTGGAGGCGGGAGCGGGGAATTGGCTTGACGTTTTTCGGGCTTCGGCGAACCCAAGGCGCCAGTTGAGTTTGAACACGACGATGAAGACGCTATAAAGCATACATTTCATAGTTACTAACGTGAAAAAGTGGTTACATATGTATCTGATGGAGATGTCACTTTTAGCGATGTTCTTTGTTGCTGTCGTCCATTTTATAAAAAAAGGTATCTCAAGGCATATTTTGTACACTTCCAACATTAACATTAATATACATATAAAGATGAACTAAATAATAAATTAAATAAGGTACTGTTAATTTATTTCATTGTTTACCTTATATCCAAATAATAATTTTGCTACTATACTTATTCTTTATACCTACATCCGTTTTACAATGAGTTTGTTGTCAATAGTAGATCAGGTGACAGTAGAGAAAATAGTACTGTTCAGAAAGGATCTTGAATTTCCAGCAAAAATCTAATCATCAAGAGAAGATAAGGAGCAAGAGCCAGTTGTAAAATGAAAAGTCTGTGATATCGACAAGTCGGGTTATTTTACCTAATATTAATATGAAGAAATGACCATGAAAGAGTTTAACTAAAATAAGTCTTATCTTCTTAAACATATCCTCATCAAATGAGATACCTCATATACATACTTATCTACATGATTGATTACTAACATCTTATAGTTTTTAACATTTGAAAGTATTTGAAAATCGTAATCACATCGACAAATCATTTAACTTATTGATTTTATTTTAAATATATCAGCTTTTCATGTAAGACTGGTCTTAAACATACATCTGTTTATTTTTACCTTTAGAACCTTGCTGGTATTTTGGTGAAACATTGTTTTAAGAAAACATATTTATATAGAAATATATGCATACCTTGTCTTGAGTGAGTAGCATGTGATGTTGATCCGCCAATTTCTGGTGGAGCACTTCGTCTGAAAAAAATGTTTTCAAGGAATTCAATTACTTAATAGGAACACAGATTACAAGCATTTGAAAATAATTACATTTCTAACTAACTAAACATTAACTATTCAATCATTTTTATAAAAAACCTAATAAATAAACAGCACAGGACAGAACAGAACTTTTCTATGAAACTGAATATTAAGTAAATGTAGCGAATTATTCTACGCAATTTAAATAGTAACGTTCCTTTTGTCTCACCCTTAACGTATTTACATTAAAAATTCCAACAAATATATATCATAGTGACTGATATTTAGGCAAAAAAAGTTGAAGCAAGCTACGAATGGACAGGAGCGTAATTTCAGTAATGTCAATGGAGTGACAGTAAAGGTACTTACCTAGAAGCGTGAACAGGATCAGTCTGAACCAAGTCGGGTGTGGGGTCTCTCCGTCGAGGTTCAGTTGCTATTTGCGCATACGTGTCCGATCCTTCACCCACACTAGCTTCTTCGATGGCTGCGTACGTTTCATCTGAATAGAACATTATAATTTAATTCATTCATTATCAACTATTCATTATCATTTAAGAACATAAACAATACGATTTAGGAGATGATATCAGGCAGTAAGAAAGTTTATTTTCATTTTACATGACATTATAGAGTATTACCGAAAAGTGTTCTCATATTTCAGAGTGGTGAAGTATTCCCTGTGAATAACGTAAACAATTAAAGAACACAGAAATTAACCTTAAATTTTATAGGTACATTTATTATTCAGTACGAGAGAAAGGGCTGACATGAATTAAATTAAAAGGATTCTATGGACATTTTAATAACAAGGATGGTAATGGAATGTCCGGATTTTTCTGAAAATAATTGTTATTGTTATTTAGAAATATATATAGAACCTACACTAGGGAGATACATATTCCGAATCCGAAAAAACAGCTAATAGTAAAGTTTTATTGTTTAGAGTTTAGATCATAATTGTAGATTTGTAGCAGATAGCTTAATTAGAATGAAATGTCGGCGCCTTCTCGTCTTTTTATTGTTACTAAGTAATAACTTATTATATAATAATAATATTGTTGTTTGTAATATGCCTGTCTGATGTAATAATTAAATAAATATATCAACTAACCAGAATCATCTGATACCGTAGCATAGTGAGGCTGTAAAGGCTGCTTGGTGCTCTGAGCTCTGATGTTGCTGAGTGGTTCACGTACCGAAATACTTGTGTAGCCCTCTGTAAACAGCGTCATTGAGATTCAATTTGATGAGGATGGAAATATGGTGATAAGTAATGCATATTCACTCTTAAAAAATCTCATCCTATTTATATTATTTTGTATCATATTTTATTAAGTCAAAATAACCCTGGCTTATTCCAACATAGAATGTTACATTATTTTGATAGGGTATTGGATAAATCTTTCCTCCGCCTGCCTCTTTTTACCAAAATACTAGTCTAAACTAAGTCTACTACTATACGCGTGATGTGATCTTCGATTTTTTTCTGCAGAGCGACTGCTATCAGCTCTCCAAAACCCCAGTAAGCGAAGGCTGATTCTGTAGAAAGACTGTTGTCGTACCTTTTTAGGACTCCCAACTACCAGTAACGATTGCCACAAATGTTCGTATGGCAACCGGGACCGACGGCTAACGTGCTCTCCGAGGCAAGGAGGGGTCTAAATGTGTTAAGAAATGGTCACTCATCTATAGACTGACCTGGCTAGGATTGCTTAACTTTGCAATGTTAGTATCAACTCGGTACCACGTGCCCTAATATTGGTATTAGGTATATACAATATTGAAAGAATTGTCAAAATCGGATTACCCTTTGAAGGGTTACGTTTAGTGATAGATAAAAAGAAAATACGAGTGGTCAAAATTATTCATGTTATTATACCTCGGCTGTATAAACCTTCTCCATTTATTTCCGTCTTTGAATTTCAAGAGTCAATTAAACATTTTCTAAAGCAATATTTGCTGCAAATAGACTTCCTTCATTTGACGGACTAAAATTTTATATTTTGGATGGCAATGGTCAAGGCAACGTTACTTAATAACATATTTTTAGCAAACAATATTAAAGAGAAGTGTTACGTATGTAAATTACATTGAAAAATAAAATTTAAAATGATGTTATCATTACCCAATCATTTCATGAATTTATATTGAGAACATTTTTTTATTTCCATTTTAAGGTTAATCAAGAAACTGTTAAAAGAATATTACTAAAAATGCATTACCTTGCATTTCTTGAACATAATGTGGTATTTATTCTCATTTTTCACTGTTCAATGCTTCTAAATCATGACAAATTTAATTAAACTGTAGCCTTTACCCCTCTAACCTGGAGTATTACTAATTTAATTTAAACACAGAAATCAAAATCGGATTATAAATGGCTAACATATCGAGGAACAGTACATACGTAAAAAAATTCAATAGTTGAACAATTAGATATTCATGACATCTTCGGTTTATTTTATTTTATTTATTATTCTTTCCTCTTATTATGTTAGTATTTACATTAAGTTTTGAATATGTAACCTGTTATAGCACTTTGTAATTTCTTTCAATGCTACGAGTACAAGCAATAACGTAGAAAAACGTCTCTATAATTATTATAGGGACTTTTGTCTGTGTTATTGTAACAATATAAAAAGACTGCCTCGGTGGTGCATTGGTAACGTATGAGACTGCTGTGCTTAGGGGTCTCGGGTTCGATTGCCAGGTCGGACCAAATGCTTGTATGATCCGCAAATTTTTGTTTCGGGTCAATCTAGCTTTCATAATACAAACTGTGCTAAGTTTGCAACTATATGATTGTGTGACAGAGGTCCGAAAAATAATAATAATATCATACTAGTTGAATCTGTAGAATCCCCGCTGAAGTGAACAGTATTGTCTGTATTCGGACGTGGTGAAGGAGGCGTTATATACGGTAGCTCTTGACTTGATGGTAACTGTCCACTTATCGCGACAGATGCTGATATCACTACAGATTCTGAAAATTAGAAATTTGATATAAATTATACTCAAAAATCGTTGACTTGTCATGACAAATATAGAATTTACATTAATATTAGTGAAACTACCATATTACGTACTGATAAAGGTATTTAATTAGCTAAGCGATTCGTGTTTATTTTTAGAATTTTATCGAATGGTAGGTAGTAAATGTACATACCTGCTGGATTTTGAGCTACCTCTCTTTCATCTATTGGAATGTCTCTTTCGGATGCTTCATCCGTTGTCACTTCCAGTAGTCTGCAAAGAACAAATTGATTTCTGTTTTCAACAAGTAAAGTGCAATAACTTATTGGGAGTATTAATATGTTCTGTTATTATTTATAACCAAAAAGACGGTTGTAACATATTATTTTTATGAATATTTCTTAGTTACATTTGACTAAATCACAAACAACATATTTGTAAATTAAAATATCACTAACTAAAATAATGTCAAACAAAAAAGGGTTTGATTTAGTTTAAAAAATGAAAATAATTTATTTCAGATCAACTCTAGGAGTCTAAATATGTTCTTAATCAATGTTAGTTTACTCAATCTTTAACATTTTTGTCAAAGTATTAAAGAGTTTGACATACATGGTGTTAAGCAACCCTGTTACCGTGTCAAGTATTTCTAGAAACCCATGACCTCTGGATTGACAGTCAGGATCACTAACGACTAGAGCAAAAGGTCAAGTAATTAATTAATCTGAGATTTTGCTAAGCGAATACTATTTGCGATATTGTACTAGAAATCTAAAACTTTACACCGAAATGAAGCAATTATCATTGTCCGTGTGGTGACGGATGAAGATTACGGAGTGTAACCACCCAATGTATCCCGTTGATGCCGTAAAATCCGACTAACGGAACAAACTACGCAGGACAAAGTACTGCAAAGAGAAGGATAACTTGAAAGAAACCCTATACCAACCCGTCTAGAAAGCGTGATATAGTAAGTCAAAACCTCCTTCCAAAAAAAAAAGGCCTATGTCCAGCAGTGGACTATTAAAGGCTGTTGATCGATTTGATTTGAAGTAGGTAATTATCTACTCACACATGGTTTTCATTCTGAAGTTTCGCGTACGCATGTTCATATGGACGATCGCGGCTTGTGGATGGTGCTGCTTCTATCTTATTTCCTGTAATAAACAAATTGATTACCACATACTGCTAATTATAAATAACTATTACCGCTTAGTTATCGACAGTTCCAAATAGCGGCGCCTTTATTCGACGTAAATTGATAATGTGGCCTGATCGTATCACTTAATCAGATCATGAAAACACAGTAGCAATAAGTGTTTTTTTATTAAAGTTAATGCTACTTAATTACACTATAAAATTGCATATAAAACACTCTTTTCATAAACTACAGTCCCCACATACCCTACTACTACTCCACCAACTATGATTTACAGTTCAGTAAAAAAAGGTCGCATAATCAATTTAAAAGAAGTTATTACCTATATGTAATAGTGTGAATAAAAATTTGCTTGTTCAAAGGTTTTTGCCTCATGTCGCGATTCATTTAAATAACACAAGCAACAAAACAAAACCATACAGCCTCAAGAATTAAATAGTAAGTCTGGAAGATACTCAGTTATATGAGCCATTTAAAATACAAGCAAAACAAAGCAGACATGAATTCGTTAAAATTGGAGAACAAACTGTTTTAGAAAGTAGGTTCATCATCAGTCTATCGCAGTCCACTGCTGGACATAGGCCTCTTCTATTGCATCATCAACAGCCTTTAATAGTCTACTGCTGGACATAGACCTCTCCTTAGAAAGGATTTTGCATGTACTTGTTTTTTTATGAGAAATATTGGTTACGTTCACGTTCAGCGGTGTCGAAAATAAAGTACGTTTTCGCCTGTCTAACTTTTTGTCATTGCTAGTAAATGAAGATCAGCTATAGCGGATGGATTCATCGCTACTGGAATTGGGGCGTTATAATACAAGAAAGAAGGTTTCTTGTATAAAAATATTAAATGTCTTTACAATTCGGATCTACACACTTAATTTTATACTAGCTATATACATAACTACTAACATACTTTGCGCATGCACGTAATGCGCAATTATAAATGTTTATTACATTCTATTTTTGAAAAGCTGGTCAATAACAAGTAGCAAATGTAACATACTTACCGAGGGTTCCGTACTACGCAACTTCTGCAGATATTAATTTCTTAAATCGCTTATATCTATGTTCTATTGCTATAGTAGTACCTATTATTCAGCTATAGTAAATATAATCTTGTTTAAGTACAGGGTATAAGTAATATATGTACGTAACTACGCCTACATTGCCTTCGATGTATTTAGACAGCGGAGCTCCATAAATACAGGTGGCCTGGCTCCTCATAGAGTACACTATTAACTTTTCTTTTTCTAAACAACATTGGTGTAGATGCACTTGCGATTTAATTAGTGGGTTACATACAGAGTCTATCTTTGTACTATTATTATGTTATAGTACACTATGTAATGCTTCAGCACAATACAGGTCTGAGATAGATATCACGAGCCCACAATAGCTCGTAAGTAGTAGTAAGTAGTCTATCAATGTCGCAATACAGTTCATAAAATAAACAGAATATGATAATACAATTAAATCGTTCAGTTTGAAACCGCGTCAGAAAGATTTTTGTTTTATTATTTTAAAATTGTTCATAATTGTTACGTTTGGTTAATTTATTTATTTTTAATGTGTTCAGCAAGATTCACAGCTCTATTTACACATTTTAAGTTTAATTTAATCTACATAAGTTACGCGATGTAACTGATTATGATCACTTCTATTGGACACTTCAATTTAAAAGACGAAAGAGAAACAAATATGTTGTAATTCTTACTCAACCTCGGCCGCACGAATAAGTGATGTTCAAAATGCAATAGAAGCGGCTTACTTAAGACGACAGTGACCTGAGTTTTCGTGTGGCTAGGATTGTTCATGTCAGCGGCGTGTAGGCTTGCCACCTTTTCTTTTGAGAAAATATAGTATTTTGGAAAATTCAGTTCAAAAATATTGAACACATTTAAACGTAATTAGATTTCTCTTACTTAGTTTTTCTTAAGCATGTGTGGTGACTGAAATTTTGTAATAATCCTTTGGATTATTTTTTAACACAAAATTTCAGTCACCACGTTTGAAATAAAATCGAGTTTTTAATACAATTAAGGACAATTTAAGGACTATTATTTTCAATAATTTTAACAACTTTCAGGGAAATTAAAACTCACTTTAAATTGACCTTATTAATTAATCAAGACCATATAATTCGCCGAGAGGCAAGGCCTAAGAGCATAAACAAAGGAAAAGAAAATAACTGGTTAATTTGTTGTATTGTAACCCTTTTTTGCGATTTGACGATTATATTTGGCGCCATAAAAATTTCCTCACGTATATGAATTTATCGAGGATATCTTTAGAATGGCAGAGCTGAGTTTCTCTTCTCTCTAATCCGACTTGGTAGATACAAGCCTGTAGAGAACCTTCACCTCAACACTCAGAAAAAAAAAACTATTTCATAGTAAGCAGAATCATTTGCGTATCGACAACCTTACTCCTCTTCCTACGAAGCAACTAGACAACACTACAACTAAAACTGACTAATAATGAGTCAAATCGCAATTTTTTTTGTTAGAAAACGTTAATATGGATTAACAACTACTGCAGCGGGAGTTAAGATACATCATTGTATTTTAATCAACGTTCGAAATATACAATCTGACTGGATGACTGGATTATAATAAATACAGTTGGAGATGTTTTACCCACATTCCGATTAGACATTAAGTTCACATTGACATGTAAAAGTTCTGAGACTAAAACTCCACGAACTCCCAAATTTAACCGTCTTAAAATTCTGGCGAAGAAATTAAAATTACATTTTCGACAACATGCCTATTTCGCTAAAACTACTTCACTTATCTCTTTATTTGACTGGATTTGTTTTTGTGTCAATTACTACGTTGCTGAAATCTTAGGTACTGTTAACTGGCAGAGATCGAACCATCTAACGTTTTTTTTTTAAACAAAAAGGAGTCTGTGACCATACAGACTGAATAGTTAAACTTGTTGCACGGTCTTCTGTATGATAAAGTAGTTTCCTACGGGAGATATAATCTTGCGAACTCTATAAGGCCATGGAGTAAACGTAAACCATGTTCAGGGTCTGTATAAGTTTAGATTTGTACTTTTCTTTTATCATTTTCAGTTATGATAAAGCGCGATAAGTACGTCTTCGGATCAGCTTTTTATTGTTAGATGAAATGTTATCGCCAAAATAAGTTACCTTCATCCAAATTAACCGTGGCATATATTTCTGAAGCCGTATCTCCACTGTCGTGTCTTCCAACCGGATGTGGTATTTCTGGCAAACTTCTCTGGCTGTTTTGGGTAGACGCCCTGTTAAGGAAACGATCATATCATAAGAACGTGACAGATTCTACTGCTGATGGATGCATCATCAGATTTTTGCAAGCTGGAGTGCTATTAATCTTGCTGTAGCAGTTATATATTGGCCGTACATAGGGTACGACTGAGGACTTCGTATAGGTATATTACATGCGTTCGCCTAAAACCACCCAAGTAACGCGTCGTACCATATTATGGATCGACTTCAAGAATATCGTATATTACCCCTATAGTTAGGAAAAATTATACAGGCTTGCTAATAGTACAATTATATTTGCATGCTAATGTAAACCTGAATTGAGTTAAATAGTTGGTTAAGGTAAGGAAAAACAGAAACAATAATGATAACTAATACATAGGTATATGTAGATACTGGTAATGACAATTCTATAAGGTCACGAACAAAGAAAAAGACTTTGCGTGCAACATGCAAAAATCAAGAGCTGAAGGTCATAATTCCGTTATACTAATATGTCCGTTACTATTTCGGAACGATATGTAAAGTTCTAGGTCAATGCCCGGTAATACAGTAAGAGTTCAAAAAATAGTGTGACGTGAACACAGGTTACGGGAATAGGTATTTGATTTATTTCTTTACTAATTATTAAAAAAATTGATACATAGATATTTTTATAACGTTAAACACATTTTGTTTTACGTATAGAAATATAATATATAACCTCCTTTCTAAAGAGAGGCTTATGTCCAGCAGTGGACTTTTAAGGGGTGTTGATGATAGAAACATAATATATAATACAGTCTTCTTCCTCGTTGCCTTTTTTCAAAGTAGGTTGGGTCAGCTTAAAATCTACTACGATACGGCTGAACAACGATTTTATCAGTGGGGCGACTGCCATAACACCTCCACAACCCGTACTTGGGTTGGGGAGGTATTATAGGCGCTATCGATGTTCTGTAGAAAGACTTGTCGGACTTCTTAGGGGGCCAACTACTCGTAACTATTGCCACCGATGTTGGTATGGCAATGACGTCTTAAAGAGTATAGAAATTTAATTAACTAGTATGGAAAATTATCTAATCGTAGTCTTATTGAAAAGTTAATATTTCATAATTATAGCAATCTTTCATTAAAAGCATAAAACAATGATGGCCGCGTCAAGCTCGCTTTACTATTTACGCGATAAGATAAACTAATCCTAGAAGTTATGGCGCGGTATATTGACTGGTGGACCTAATGGTGTTCCAGGTCGGGTGCTGGCGATAGCTCTGTCGGTACTGGGGAACAAACTGAGGCGGATTATCACGGATTGTCTTAGCCTCGGTGTCGTCCCCCTCGGCTGGAAAGAAGCGAGACAGGTGCTCCTGAAAAGGGCAGGAAGGACTGGAGATTCTCCCTCTGCGTTCCGACCGATATGCCTGCTGAACGAGTCGGGGAATCTCTTTGAGAGGATTATCTCCGATCGTATCAGCGAGCACCTATCGCGAGAGGGCCCTGATCTGTCGGACTGATAGTTTGGATTCCGACGGGGGCGTTCGACGGTGGACGCTGTCAGGTGCGTTCGCTCCATTTCGGAGTCGGCAGTCTGATCAGGGGGGTGACGTTGGCGGTTAGTCTTGATATCGTCAACGCGCTCGTCTAAACTTTAATACTGGCTAGAAGCTTACATGGTTCCATGGCCTACATAAGCGCCAGGAACCACTCAGCTCATTCCTCCGGGTGGGTGACGCTGAAGTATAGCTGGGTCGGTACATGCATGAAGTAGCTAGGCCTCATCCTGGACAGTCGGCGGAGCTCCACCGGGTAGCAGGTGCGCTGCATCGCCTGTTGCCCAATCTCGGGGCACCACAAAAAGAAGTACGCTACCTCTACACGGGCGTCGTGCGATCCATAGCCCTCTATAGGGCATCCGTCTGGTCTAATGACCTGGCGGGTTCCTCCAGCTGCAAGGCTCTACTCAGGACCCTGCAGCGGTTGATGGCCGGATGCATGGTACGGAGCTAACGTACGATCTCGTATGAGGCGGCAACGGCGATGCAATGGTCTACGACCAAGTGGAATGTCTCTGTAGGTTGGAATGCTGAAGAGGCCGCACCGGATCAAGAGCCCGGAATGCTACGTCGGAACGCGTATACGCAGGCTCTGCGGGCTTGGCAGGCACGGCTCGAAATCCAGGGCTGAGTCGTTGAGCCGTTCTGCCGAGCTTCAAGAGTGGGTAGGGAGGAACGACTGTGTCGCCTACCCATTGACGACTCAGATGCTCACTGGGCACGGTTGCAGTGAGTACGTGAATCAAATTGCAAGGGAGGTCACGGCACAATGCCACCATTGCGCGTCTGACCGGGATTCCGGATGGGATTTCCAGCACACGCTGGATGAGTGTCCTGGTTGGGTCTTGGTCGGACAGATCGGATGAAACCTGTCACCGCCAGTATTGATCTCGGCAATGCTGGCGAGTGGCGATGGATAGGCAGCCGCGGTCTCCTTCTGCGAGGACGCTATGCTCCAGAAGGAGGCCACAGAGCGGGATCGGGAGAGTGATCGGGGATTTGGTCTAAGGCGAGGCGCTGTTGCGCCTCTTACTGTGTAGAGCATGTGCGAAAAGCATTCACCGCGTATAAAAAAAGGATAAGTTTTATAAGTTGGGTTGGAACGGAACGAATGTAAGTTTTACAAGACTTCTAGCAAAAAAATTATTGTAACTATCATTATATTACGTTTTGGCGCCAAAAATTCCATAACTTAAAAATTTATATTATCTCTAACATTTATCCAGTATCACGCAATAAAGACGAATCTAACGAGATTTTCATTAATCTCGGTTCATCCGTTAAGTAGTTATAGCTAACGTGGAAAATAAGGATGGACATACTAATACATAGGGTGCTTCTACACGATACAAGTAGCTTGCTTATGTTGAGGCACTTGCGCAGGTTATTTGCTTCGCGAAAAAGAGTATGCGGGTTACTTGCGAAGGTACAGTGCTGAACTGTGTAAAATCTGAAACGAGCAAGACGTATACATGTAACACGTGCGAGCAGCATGCACATAATACTAACCAAACGTGCAAGTAACTTGTGAATGCTAGTGAAGCAAATAACCCACGACCTTACCCGCTCCAGCTACTTGCACCGTGTAGAAGCATCCATACTTACAAGTCTAACTTAAAACGCTTCTAACTTTGATTTGATTGCCATAACTGTGTTAGGTATATAGTGTAGATAAGTATTTATTAAGTAATACGATACTGATAAGTAGAAAATACAAACACTTAATATGAAGTATATCTATAGTGTGCAGTTGCACACATAGCTTAACATACATGGATATGATGTGCTTTTGATGTTTACTTATTCTCGAGCACACTACAAAATCAAGAAAATAATGTTTTTCATTCTTATAACTAAGACTGAGTTACAACTGAACTATGTTACTGCGCACCAATGATGTTGCAGAAATCCATACCCTTAACCACAGATATGAAACACTTACCAAAAGAAAAAAAGATTTATGTCTCTATACATACACATTACTTCGTAGCAGATCTTTTCAATTATTTTACTTAACTTTCTGCTAAAATTAAATACATAAAATATTGGATGCTTACATTTTAAAGTAAATAAGTTACTATTTAACTTGATTCATCTCTATGAACTTAAATTAAAAAAATGTAGTGACGGAAGAATCATGTGTGTCTTTAACGTCAACTCTGCATAGGTCACAAGATGTAGGCAAAAAAAAAAAAAGATTGTGTCTAGACACCAATAATCCGTACCCAAAGATATACATTTTTAACAATCTGAGATCATTATTGGTCATATTTAAATTTGACTCTAGTTTACAGGCCTCTTAGCAAGTGACCCAGTCCTATCAGAATAAAGGTATCAAAAAAATATTCATGGATAATTAAAAGCTTGTCTCTAAGGAAAGTGTTTCTTAACCATTAAAATAGAATATTGTTAATAACAGAGATAAGCATCACTCTGAGATCTTCTTATGGGATGTTTATAAAAGTAAAAACAAGAAAAAAAAGTAAATGTCAGAACAGAATTTTTCTATTGCCATAATGGTTTAAATTGATTGATATGACCATATTAATATTAGATATTTTTATGAGAATTAATTGGGCAAGGCAACATACAATAGGAACAATCTACTTTTTAAAAATGTACTATTAAACATTGCACTAAAAACCAAGCATTTATTTAGTATAAATAAGTCTGTCAGAGTGCAATTTTGAACAACAAAAAATGTATTTTGAGCATTAGGCATAATAATGGCATAGCTAGATCAAAAGATTTTGATTAATGTTGTAAATTAATGAAAAAATAAAGTTACAAGGGATTTACCAAACCAAGGTTCTGTAAATCCCTTGAAAGGATAAAGGATATGAATGTAGTCTTACAACTATTTTTAGAAATAGTTGTTGTTGTGTTGTGTTGTTGTTTCTGTGTCTGACTACATTCATATCCTTTTATAATTGTACTTGGTGGTTCATAGTTATAATGCTAACAAATTTTAAGTCAGGGTCAGTTTTAGTGCATTGTTACAAATTATTAATTGGGAGAGTACTATACAATTAACATTTTTTAACAGTGACATTATAGTCATATTTTTGTTTGGCTCCTAAGCTTTATTCTGAAATGCCTAATAACATTTTAATGGTCAAACTTGACACCCCCATGAAATAGCAACAGCTAAAAGAAAGAAAATAGAAAGACTCAAGCTGTAACTTAATTTTATCACATGGCAAATGTTATATTAGCCAAGAATGACATTTTTGTTAAGTAGTTATTATATATTGTTAGCAGATCCTCACATTTGATATTAGTTAAAAAATTAGTTTACAATTTACTAAAAATATGTTTAGTTACAATGGTTAAATATGTTGACCATCTGTTAGTTCTTTAGTATAGTGGTAAGGCATGTCTAGGTCATGCTAGAGCTATAACAAACCGCTTAATAGAGGCCGGAGTGGTAGGTGTTGGAGATGGTGCCTCTTCCTCAAAACGTAATTTGACCACACCGGCCATTCCAACCAACTCACTTCTGTTAAATACAAACACATTAATGGTTACTGTTTGCTTACAAAGTCATAACATTAGACCACAATTTTGAAAAACAATTTGCATTTTGTCAATTTTACATAATGTTATTTTATTAAATGTATTAATTAAATGTATTAATAAATAATTATGTAAAACTTGAGTATTTATACTTTTTTTTAAAAGCAACTACCACATTCTTTTAAAACAAAACCTATGAAAATTAAAATAATCAGACATCACAAAAAACATAATCAGAATGATACTAACAAAAGATGGCATACTTAAACTAGGTAATAAATAATTGTGATATTGCAACATACACATTTTTAGGCCATTTGTCATGACTTACAGTTGTTATCATCTCTGTTTTTAAAAAGAGATTATTTATACAATAACACTATGTATGTATGTACTATGAAGAAGGTTAAAACAGGTATTCAATGTTATAGATTAGTATTTTTGGATTTAAAGTTTAAAAGTATGTATTTGGCAGGAAACACTTATTTTTTATTTTCCAACCACTTAATCTCTCTTGATATTAAATGGTTTTTAAAAGGTTTTTTTGTTATAAATGGCAAATTTGTCCAAAATACCACAGGTATTATTCTTTCAACGAGATTAAAACATAAAATGTCTGTTCTTAATAAATGTAGCGGTTTAGGAAATTTGTAATGAAATAAAAAAGTAATACACCTAACCCTTGTATTTTTTATAATGGTAGAGCAGTACTATTGCGAGCTAATTGGCAATAATAATAAAAAAATACTAAAAACTTCTTTAGGAAATATTATAAATACATCAAAATATTTACATTAAACGGTAGTCCACTATTTTATAATTTCTGCTTACGGTGTCAACAAATGAAATAAAAAAAATCACTAGTTTTCTGTGTCATAAAACAATGAGTAGTAAAAGTTTTCTGCTTTCTGCTTAAGATTACGAAAACAATGAGTAATTAGTTCAATTTTCAAACAGGAGTCAATAAACTGAAAAGTATAAATACAAAATAAAAACTTACTTTTGGTTGGAGTTCTTGCATCCACAAACACATATTGAAAGTACTGTAACGAGAGTGACGAGCACTCCCAGAGTAAGGGCTACCTCTATAATAGTAAACATAACAAGAGTTTCTCTATTAATTGGTATCTAACCAGGGCCTTTATTACAACAAAATTCCATCATAGGCATAGATCTTAAGTCACTCCCATATACAGAAACATTTTATGTACACAACTATTTTCCATTTGAATAAAACATGTTGAAATGTAGGGCACTTGATCACGAGAAAACATAAATTAAATTAAATATAAAACAAAAACAACTATATCGTAATTCTGATTTAAAACAATTTCTTATTATAGTCAGTTATTAATCTTGTGTAATGGTATCGATATCACTGAAAATGTACAAGCGATTCAAGCGAAAGCAAAGCGCGACCATCAGCATAGATAATATACAACAATAGTGTTGTTCTTTGCTTCCCTTCATCGATGTAAATCTTTTTTGATGTGAAACATCTAATGCGAACGGTCAGACCCGCTGTTTGCTTGCGAATCGTCGACACGCTATGTGATACAGAAGTCATTAATGAAGAAACTTAAGTTCATTTTTGTTTTAAATTAACTTTAATGGCTATTAAATTTTGACTTAAAATGGTCACTGGAGCCGACTTATGCCACACTGGAGCTCACAATTAGGCAAACGTAGTGCAGGGTGGTGCCCTGCTCCACGATGGACTTGATGACTTGTTAAAAGTGGCAGGCAGTGGATGGAGATAGTTTGCTTAAGACCGAGATAGTTGGCATTCCGTGGAGGAAGCCTTCATTCTGATGATGATAATGATGAAATGTAAATTAAATGAACAGTAATCTTTTGCTTTATAAAAATATGAATATTACTATATTTTTAAATGTCCTGTAAATTTTAATTTCCCCTCAGAAGCTATTTTATTGTATTCATTATTTAAACAAATTAATTTCAGTGTTTCACATCTGCCAGATGTCCCGAGGCAGCCCAATATTTTTCTGTAGAAATAACAAACAAACACTACTAACAAATCACAATGTTTTGAAATATTTCAGGTACCTGTTAATTGAATAAATATACCGGTGCTAGAAGTAAGTGAGTATGCAAAATGTGAAGACCGATTTCCACCAATGGGTTTGTGTTAAGAAAAGGTCAAAGATTAATAAATCTTGCTGGTAAACTTTAAAAGGTCTGTTTTGAACAAAAGAGTTGTATAATTTAAAACTTTATACTATACTACCCTTGTAAATAATATTTAAATAAAAAGCATAAAATAAGTGCTTTTAACTACTAAATCTCAGGTTATGCAACGGTCTTAGGTAAAAATCTCCATTAACCTTAAGGTGTATAACAATACATTTTGAATCAAGAATATTTGATTTGATGCTTTTTGTCTAGGCCAGATATTGTAATTAATCATAATTAAACCTATTTATCGACATCGATGTTTGGAATGAAAATTGCTCATTTCTAGTGAGAATAATCAATCTAAGTGACAGCCTAGTGTTGCCTGGTCGTAATTCATAAAAAATAATTTGCTACCTTTACTTTTTCCAATTGCATTTTTTTCTTGTGACATTGAGAAAAGACAAGATCAGTTTATTAGATTAAATAAAAATGCTGAACCTGCGAATTAACGAGATTTCCTTGTCCCTGGAAACACCAATCAGAAAATGAACACATTATATATTGTGTTGTAATCATACAATTTGGACAGCTTATTAACCAATCGCAATCTCAATCGCGCAATCTCCGTGTCAGGCAAGATAAACAAGACAGCTGTCTTGTTTATCTTGCCTGACACGGAGATTGCGGAAAGAGAAATAATAATAATAAAGTGCAGAATACTACAGATACTGATTTGAATTTGTTTCATACTATTTAAGTTCTTTCTTTATTATGTTCTTCTGAATATAGAAATGTTAAAATTTCTATGTGAAAACAGTTAACGCTGTTTTATTTTATCTTACCTTCATTAAATTTTCATACAAAATTTATATATTTCACTCTGTTCAACGTTGACGCCATGTATAGTAATGTAACCATTATGCAGCTTTATATGGTCTATTTTTAATTTAAATTAAAAACATACTTTACTTGAATTAATATTTTATTTTCGAAACAAAAATAAAATATTAAAAGTGTACCTAATTAAACCGTGCCGCTTGCATTCGTACGTTCTTTATTGATTTGTAACATTACTTAAAAAAAAAGACAGCTCCTTCACTAGCTATCCTGTGTGCTTATCCTGTGTCACAGGAAACTTTACAAACATATATGAAACGGGACCAAAGAACACTCAGACTCGGAACGATAATTTGTGGATCACACAAATTGTCGTCCCATGTGGGGATCGAACCCGCAACACTCAGTATAGTAGGAAGCAGCTAGGCGACCGCTTAAACCACTGCGCCATCCTGTTTGATTTTATCAATAATTGTCCGCTTTATTTTAGATATATCATAAACCTGGCTTTTTTTCATTACCCAATTAGATCTTAATTGGTATGATACTAAATAAACCATTAAATAGCATATCTAACAAGACGTATGTAAGTCCGGTCGATTTCTAATTTGAAAAATAAATGAAAAATCACTGTTCCTACCTCCCTTTGTAAAGTAACGTAATGTGTTATGCAGTACGCAACGCGCGAGAATATTATAATTCTCGGAAGTCGGAACAACATTGCGATTTCTTGGAAAGTGCTCCCATTAAGCTACTTATATATTAAATGTCTGTTTCTTTTTGGACTTGGACTTTTTGTTGCCAATTATTACTGAAAAAAATAATTTTAATTAAAAATACTTCTTGGATGAAGATTTACGTAGTTTTATTCATTATATTTATCTTTTTTTTTTCTATTATAGTGTACAATTTTTATCACAAAATATTGTTTTTCGTTATGAAAAAATATTTTAAAATAAGGGATCTCGCGCACTAGACGACCACGACCAGTGGCCACAACAATCAGATTGTCTAGATTAACTAAAGAAACCATACAACCGTTGCTCATTTTTCTTACAGTATAGTTTTAAAATATAGCGACTCTTCGTCACAATAAAATACAATGCAATAGCACAAAGCTATATTTTCCACAGTTATATTCGCATTCGACGTTGCTTCATACTTAATGTGCAGAGCGGACCTGGCCTGGACAAACCGTATTATATAAGGCAGTCAAAATACCACATAATAGGTGTATGCAACGAATTCATAGCATTTAGCTCTAGTATGTTTTGGCATGGTCTATAAACTAAATTTAACATAAAATATTTTTTGAGTTGGCAGCACTACTGTTAAAACGATTTATTTAAAATTATAAGCAAAGCCAATTTTTGGGGGTTATCAAATTATTTTACACACAATTTTAACAGAGAAAGTGGCAAAATATTCAGATTTCAAATATTAACAAGAATTGAGTAATATATCATTTTATAATTATTATGTAAGCAGTAGCAGCAGTAAGTTTAATAACTAATAATTTGTGTAATCGAAGTTGCCGGTATGGAAACAAAAAGTGAAATATTTTCTCAAAGATTAATAATAGCTGTGCTTTGGAACATTGGACTTCAGACGTTTCTTGCTTTTATGTTAGTGTTTCTTATTGAAGTCGATATCCTGCATCCAGTGTCATGGATTACTTCAACACTTAATGACATATTCGGGTGGAAAATGGGTCTTAACATTGTGTTGCTTGGATTGGTGTCATTCCTTCAAGCATATGTTTATGGAAATTATTATATGATGCCATTACCAAAACATTTTACTAGATTTTCTATTTTCCTGAACTTATTTACAATTCAGAACATGATGTTTAGCATTTTGTATGCTCTCAGTGGCTATTTTACAATGGGATTATATTCATCTTTGGCAAAGAGTAATTACAATATCTTGAAGAAAAACTGTGAATTCTATTCTGGTCAGTGTCTTGTAGAACCAAGCCTTTTTCTGCAATTTGGTGGTATGTGGATGGGATTGTATTACTTTCTGAACATCCATGTATTTGGTGCTGCTTTACTTATGTTCCCTCATATCTATCAAGATAAATTCCAACAAATTAAGCTGGCTGTTAATAGTGTATTGTCTTTGGGTTTCAAGAATTCTATTATGCCAGTTTGTTACTACTGTATTTTTTACTACATTTGGGGAAACAAACCGAGAGGTATTGTTTCAGATGTTTACAGTTTATATCTTGAAGATCCGCCTTTAGACAATATCGTAAACTTAATTACTTCTGGTATATGGATTGGACTTTGGTTTTACACGAGTTTGTTCTTTGTGTCAGTTTACACAATGAGAACTATTTTTAACATAATACTTACTGAACCTATGAAGTTTCCTATTAATTCTGGAAATAGTTTAACCCTACATGATGCATTAGCTCAAAGATCACAATTCAACGGATACTTAGGAGCGCAAGATTTAAAATTTATGTCAATGACTGAGCCTGTCAGGAGGCAGGAAGTTTTTACACTTTCACAACCTGGTGGACATCCAAGAAACTGGAACAATTTATTGGAAAAGTGCCTCAGTATTATTAATGATTATAGTAAAGAATTGGATGCTGTAAATGGAGATGGTAAAGCATCAGAGGCTGACATTTCTACAATTAGGAATAAAAATGTAAAAAACGTACCAAATGGCAATGGGTTTACATATTCTGGAAATTTGAGGAACATGGCTCAATCTCCCCAATTGCAAGAATTGAAGGAACATAAGAATGAAAATGATACATTAGTGAATATGTTGAAAGAAGAATTTAATGTATTTGTTCATAAATTGTGTCAGAAACCTCCCTTAAGCTACTTATTTGGGGAATTAACTGACACAAAGTTAAAATTTTTATTAATGCAAGCTCAACCTGTGATGTGGACTTGTGAAGGTTTAGCATGTATTGCAGCCACTTCTTTGAATGAAGATAAGTATGGAGTGGTGCAAAATGACTTGCCAATTATTATATCAAGTTTGACCAATCTCAAGCAGAATTTAGATAAATTGACAAAACCTGGTCTGGTGCCAAGGAAGCATATACTCAATGATGCTTTTGCTATTAAAATGAAGAATGCTTTAATTTCATCAGTTAAAAGAAGTATTTATAAAATTGTGATTACATTCTCTAAATATATTCATGAAATACCATTGGATCCTGATGTTCAAGTAGCATTACAGCCATTTCTTTTATGTAAAGAAGCATAGAATTGTCATAATAATATATTTTTTACTTATTTAAATGTGTTTTTTTAACATAAAGGCATCTCTATTATTTATGGAAATAAAACAAGTTATTTAGATATATAAAAAATCTGTAATGTTCCTGAAACTCTAACAAAGAAACATTTTAAATCAGTAATTATAACAACCAACTTAATTTCAACATCTAATTTATTTGGCTCACTAGATTTTACTTAGTCTAACATTACAAGAAGGGTTAGTGATAGGAAAATTGCAGAGGTCTGTCTGGAATAAACACACAAGTCAGTAGGTCACTTAGTAATAAAAATATCTTTAATACAATGCAAGCAATGCCAAAGTAACATTAAAAGTAGGCTGCTAGGTGGCCACATAGCTTAGAAAATGACGATGACGAGAGTCCTTTTCCGTTAACATGATTAATTTTGCTATTTCAAGGCTATGTTTAACTCTGTACTTGATCCTTTAGTCTAGACTATGTCTAGAAAAAAAAAAACTATATTATGTAGAACTTGATTTTAATTAGGTAGGTACTGTTCTAGTAATAACCTAATTTCATCTTCAGCATACAGTCATAACATAGCATAAAATTTGTTAACCTAGGTGGTTATTTTGCATATACATCTGCAATATTCTGATTCATAAGGATTATTCTAGAAAAACCAACATAAAACCTAAGCATTGCAAGTTAGCTATTTGGACAATGGTGGTTATTCACAGGCAGGCATGGTGACCATAATTTTGTGTGTATCTATATTTTTATTTATATTAAAAAAAAGGGACAATTAATTACATAAACCAATTTCAAACATGTGATCAATTGTAATATTTGGCCACGATTGCGCGATTGTCAAGACATTCGATTTGCGTAAGACAAAGGTTAAATATTGACGCTATAAAAGTACTAACACTTGTAATAGTGTTTAAACTATAGAGTTTTAAATTGAATAAAATTTGGGAGTATATCTTGTTGTTCGGTCATATCGGGTATTGAAAGTTTCCTTGCTTCATCATAACGATGTTGCCCCCACGGTCAAAAACAACTTGAATAATGAAACGGACGGCTGTCCGAAATAGTCCCGAATGTACTGTAATAACATTTTTTTTTCTCGTATATAGTAAGTATATAGTTATCTAATATAATATATAGTTATTATTTTTAAATTAGGAACTAGATACACCAATTAGAGTTTCTACGAAAATCCTACTAAGAAGAACAGAAGTCAGAAGGAATTATTTATAGAAGAGTATCTTCATCTCGTAATTCACTGCTCAGTAACAGTGACCGCTGGCTCGCAGCGCCCAGAAGTGCAGTGCGTTCAGCTGACGATGTTCCGGATTCGTAACTTAGAGAAGCTAGACGAAAATGTAATATTATTAGATTAATACTTGTTTACAAATGAAACGTATTGTATGTATGCAATACAAAAGCGGTACAGATATAAGTTTTATTAGATAAAGGAAAGTAGAAATTAATGCAATTTAACAATTTTAGTTATGGACGAGCGGTCTATCTTTTCGCACAGACCTCTGTACTATGTGTGACAAGAGATATGGCTCATATTTCTTCTTAGGAACTCGCCACATAATATTAGTATTTATCTATTGACAACGGAATCGGCGTTCAATTTAGGCAAAAATTCCCTCAGTTTCGATAGCATGCAACGGTAGATTCTACTCTAAAGAGTAAAAAGAATAACGTACAGTAACTTACTAGGAAGTAGGATCGACCAGTGAGAAGAGCGAGAGAAAAGAGAGGAGAGATCGACGGTTCGGCGGGGTGGTGCGTATAAGTAGAGCGGTACATACGAAAGGTTGTTTACCGTCGGGGCTGGCGTGCGGCGTGGCGCTGCGCGTGCGCTCGCCGCCGCCCGCGCCCCCCGCCCCCGCCCCGTCCGCGCCCTCGGGCGACGCCAGCGCGGCGCGTGCGCTGCCGCCCGGCGACTCCGTCATCGACGCCTGCAGGCTGTAGCTCTCCCTGCAACCGGACCGCAGCCTGATGCTCTCTAAACGCTTTCTAAACGACCATCGGTGCTCGAGTCTTCATACCTTTTAAATACCCTATGGTCTCGAGAGTCTACGAAACCGAATAGTGACCATAATTTTCAATATCTTACACAAAATCTGTAACTGAAATAGATCTATAGACTTTACGTAATAGCATCGAGTTCCACACTTGACAGAATAAATTTTTTAAATAATAAATAATAATCGTTACGAGCTAGAGTTTATTTTGCTCATACATACGATGTTCGAATAGTGCAAAATTACTCTGAACGCGCACGTTTTTCTTAAGCGGCTGTCTGATGTAAGTTAACAATGGTATTTAAACATAAATAAGCTAGGCCTCTTTAGGATATAACATTATAAAAATAGTAGCCAAGCGAAAAATATGTAGGTGTGTGCCCGAAAATTATTCGGCAGGCATAAACGAGGTCACGCAAAACAATTCACGGATCTTGCGAAAAATTTAATGTATCATGCACGCAATAAAATGCCTATCACCAGTTCTGAGAGGTGTTCGTGACATCAAAACGGCATGCTGACGACACCTAACACCTATTTAGTTATCTATTTACTGATTGTGTGAGGGTAATGCTAGCCTGTATCCCGATGTTGAGGAGGTTTGGGAAATCTCGCTGTCGTAGGACGTGTCCGTATTGATGTACGTAGGTTGAAGGAAGGGTGGCTGTGACCAGGCGCGCCGTAGAGGGGTGGTTTCTGGGCCTGGTGAAGAGCCATCGTCTGATTCCAGTCGTACGTGAGACGCCTACACAAATATTGAATAGTTACCATAAGTATATATTTATGTCATTCAATCTATAAATCTTAATATTGGAAATGATATCTTAAACTAGCACATATTTTGTAAGTCTGATAGAGAATGCCTTGTTCCGATATAATATACTTATAAGTAACAAGAAATAGAAATACCAAAACTGGTAGAAATTTATTTATATACAAAAAAAAAAATATATAAAAAGAGTTTACCTCTGGCTTAGTATGCCTGCTTCGGCGAAATTTGAATGTTTTCTTAGAGGGTCCGTGCGCTCGCTGCAATCTGGGGCGTTCTCCAGCGGACGCATCAGGAGAGTCGGGCCCGTCCAAGTCGCGCCCGCGACCTCCCATCACGCTCTCCCTGCACGGCGCCTCGCCCGGGGACATTGGGGATAGAGGACTCGTGGACGTTTCTCCTGGATCCAATTTTAAAATAAAGAGTGAATGTATATTGACTTGACTGCACGGATGGCGTAGTGGTTTAAGCGGTCGCCACGCCGCTTCCTACTACGCCGAGTGTTGTGGGTTCAAACCCCACATGGGACGACACTTTGTGTGATCCACAAATTGTTGTTCTGAGTCTGGGTGTTCTTTGTGTCCGTTTCATGTATGTTTGTAAAGCCCCCCGCGACACAGGATTTATTCCTAATGCGGGCGTTGTCTTTTTAAAAAAAAAAAAAAAAAAAAAAAAAAAAGAAAATATCTAAATTGATGAAAAGTAACCAAACGAAAGAGCAGAATATTGTGATGCGAGGAGTACAAGACATGATTCGTGAAAGCCAATGTCGCATACCCATGAATCATACTGGCTATTGTCATAAAAGTTCGAATCCCCAAACGTAACGCAATGTCTCTAAAATTGATTCCCTAATTGTTAATAATATGAACTTGATCTCCTTTGAGATACTAAGTCAACACACCTGCGTCATCTTTAACTTGATGTAATAGTATATAGTATGTGTTATGTTTTACAGTGGTTTACTTTTCAAACGCTCGAATAGCCTAACAGTAATTGAAAAAGCCTTTCGGCAACCTTTCTTTTTGGGTTCTGGTAACCTCACAGGCTCTGTGAAAACCAAATAAATCAACACATCAATCAATTATCTTCAATATCGCTATGGTCGAGGGGCCTATAAACGTATCGTATAAATCGCCCGGTACGTATCGGATGATATCTACTGGGCGATATGTAAAAAATCACTTACCAGTTGTAAACTTCAGCTCAACAGACGGTACAAAACGTAGTTTAGTTTGCGTACTAGTGTACGATGGAGTACTAGCTGTTGGCTTGGTATCGCCACTGCCAAAATTCATAGACCCTAAAACAAAAACAATGTAGTTTAAATGATAAATAAATGGTCTTTATGATGATTTCTGAACCACCATGAAGAACAAAGAGGCTTACTAGGATGTGACTATTGAAACATTTCTGTACGGTAAGCAAATACTCGTATTATAATAATGACGATACTTAGTAACGACGATTTCTACTGAAAATTTTGCTTTCACCGGTTCATTATAGATTTTTTAATCTACTATGTAGATAACCATCAAGGCTTGTATAACCGTAAGCGGTCACAGATGTTTATCCTTTACCTCTTTAAGGCCATACCTTGTCTCAAAGGTGATTAAGGTGCAATTATTTATTATCAATACGAGGTATTGTACAACATTAAGTAAGTACAATCTCAGATTTCTATCTAGATTACGAGCATTCGAATATAATAAATAATAAAATGCGCATGGTATGTGAAACCCACCTATATTAGAGTTGCCGCTACTAAGGTTGTTGTTGCTGTTGTCGCTAAAACGTCCACTGTTCGTGACCACTTCGAATGCCGGCATATGTTGACTAGTCGTGGAGCTGCTGGATACTGATTCTAGGACATTGAAACGTGTTTATAAAAAGTTAAGGATTAATTATAAATCAGTATTGCAATGTAGACATTATTGTGACTCCTTTCTCAGAGAATGGTTCGATGAATATGGAAGAGACAGAAGTTGTATGTCAGGATCGTGGAAAATGACCGCAGTCTTAATTGCACACATACCCCGAAGGAGTATAGGACGTGAGATTATGTATGGGAGTGACTCCGTTTACTAGATACAATTAATCGTCCGAATAAAACTTTGAGTCTTTGAATAAGGATAAAGTTCCTGAACAGTTATTCAAATGGAGGTAAGTTGACTTCCTGAATAGTTTCAGGTAGTAATCGTTATCCAAAATCTGTAAATTGCGTATCTTTGAAATAGATGTAACATTTAGATAATTATTATGCATTTAAAGAATAGATTAAATCTTTGGATAAAATTTGATGGTTTAGATTGTGAGCCTTTAAAATACTTCAGAAAGTAAAAATAATAATTTAAAACGAAATAAATGTTTAGTATCTACAAAACTATTACATCTATTATATCACTACTAAATACAAATTATGGATACATTATTAAAAAAATCTGTACATATTATGTTACAAACATTTTTTAAACAAAATAAAACTTTATTGCCAAACTATTAAAAAACAATATTGTTCGTTGCTGGTGGCCCTACACAAGGCAAGCCTGTCCTGCGGGTGCTTCATACGCTTACAAACCAGAGACATACATTGTTCGGGCGACGACCATGAAGTGATTGTAAATAACAAGATAACATAACTTTACAATGACAAGAGGTTTACAAAAATAAAAACAAATAATTTTTTGCAATTAACTTTGCATACAATTGGAAGTAGAAATACATTCATTTATTAGACATAAGGTTTAGATCTATATCATTACAGATAATGTTAGGTGCGCATGGTGTATTGTATATAACATATACAATACACCATGCGCACCTAATATGAATATAAAATATAAATTCTACGGCGTTCTTCCGTTGCTTTTCGCCGATTGAGTGAGGTAACAGGAGCCCAAACCCCTTCTCCCTAGGGGATAAAGTAAAAAACTGACACTGCACTTGTGACTCTTGAATTGTACGTGTTTATGAGCAGCGGTAGTTACTTGCTATTAGGTGACCCGACCCGATTTGTGTGATTCTGAGTTGACCATTTTATTACCATTGAGAACTATTTTAAAAATGAATTATTGTTGAACACTCTATTAGACTTGCCTTGTGTAACTCTATTGTTGAACACCAGAAGGGTTTATATTTAATATTTTAAAGGCGCTTTCCAAATAGGTTAATGATAGTCGGAGTAATTTTGGTATATTTGAAGTCTTACCGATTCTTGCTGATTGGTTAACCGGCGTTCCAGTTAACCGGTAACACCGGTTTTATAAGCGTCTTTTAATATCCATAAGTACACAATAAATCGGCAAAATTAAATGATAGTGTAATAGGGAATATGCATGTATTTTTTATTTTTTTTTAACGATTCTACTAGTTATTACATTACCAAAAATAAATATAACACATCCGAAATATAAACCGTTAAGCAAAAAATTTTTATTAAAATCACTATCATTTTGGGGCAATTTGAACACGTCCATTTTGGCGCGCTTTTTTTGTGACGTCAGATTACACTTTCAGACGAATTCGATGTCAACAACGGAGTGCAGTTCACAAAGTTTTTGAAAGTTAAAAAAGTGAGTGATAAAAATTAACTTATTACCATGGAAAGCCAATAAAAACATATTATTAGACTTGCAACGAATATTCGGTTACTATTCGGTATTCGGCCTATTCGGCTGCTTTTATTATATTCGGCCGAATACCGAATATCTACATATTATTCGGCCGAATACCGAATACTTAAATAATATATTTTGTCATTGAGAAATAATTGGTAAAATGAAAAATTAAAATCGATTGATTACGTATATATTCATATTTTCATTTCTGTTATAATCATTTAAGTAGTCATTGGTGCATAACACAGGTACATAATCATCTTCTGAATAGGAAAAATGGAGGATTCTATGTATTTGAATTATTGTGGTAATCAAAATTTAGAAGGGTAAGGTTCTCATTTCTTTTATAATCATTTATTAAGTAGTCATTGGTACATAAAACAGGTACATAATTTAATTCACGTCTGTACAAGTTTTTGGCGCTAAAATCCAGCCGAATACTTTTGCCTAATATTCGGCTATTCGGTCAGGGGCCTGGCCGAATATTCGGTATTCGGTATACTGCCGAATATACTATTCGTTGCAAGTCTACATATTATAAATATTGTGCCGTTCCTTTGTGCCCAAATAATATAAAAACTGCACCTGACAAAGTATATTCAGTCCTTGTGTTGAGTCTTTCTACACGGGAATTTAATAATTTAACACTGAAAACGTATTAGTTATTAACTTAAAATGAAACAAATAATCGCCAGAAACCAAATATTACAAATACACACAACTTGTTGACACTCTTGACAGTGTAGGTTGACGTCACGTTTTATTCAACCAATAGCGTTGCGTTTTAGAAATTTGCGAGGGAATCTTACAAAAGCCAATTTTTGATGATTAAATTTCACTATTAAATTATAATAAATTTCAAAAATAATTGTATGGGTATCTTTTTTTAGCAATAAAAATTACAAATAAAAATATTTTGTCCATTTTGGTGTCACGTGCATATTCCCTATTGTTACCTCTTTGAGCTGATAACGGTGCGGAAGGGTGATCGGGTGTGCGTGGGAGGCCTCCAGCTCCGCCACGACCCACCAACATGGATATCAAGGATGGCCGGTGTTGCTGATGTTTATCAGCAACTGTTGTTGAACGCGGGAATACTTCCGATGCGCGCTTAGCACCACTCTGACCGAGATTTTCTGCTATTTGTTCTATAAATAATATATTTCATATGAACATAGAAAAATAACAGTTAACTTAAATGGAAGGAAATGGAAGTCAAATAAAAGCTTCTAACTTAACCCAATATTTTCACGTCAATATACCACCGCATATTTAAATTAGTTATTTTAAGTTTAAACATTCCATTAAAAATATTCGTGTTAATAATTTAGTATCTTGTTGCCCAAAACCCCTTTTAAACGTATCTCCACTTTTAGGCTTAAAACCCTCTGCTATATTGCATCTGCATTGATGCCGTTTGCCTAAATAATGGATGGTAAATAATATTTTCTTATACATTTCATTTAGTAAGGTAGGTTCTTGTACTTACCAAATTTGTACTGATCGTGTGTATCTCGCATGTTCCGCAACTCCCGCGCCAATTCAGCGAGTAAAGCCCCTCTCGCTCTGGCCGCTGGTAATTTGAGGCCTCGGACTCTTTCACGAACTATAAACTGCATGTGACGCTCGTTGTCACCAATCGGTGGTTGTGACAGCTGGACAACATGTTATTAAATTAAATAGATTCGCGTTTAAGAATATTTTTTATGCAGGTTCCAGAAATTATGTTTTTTAAATTACGAGCAAGAAACATCAAACGGAACATTAACATAGATATATATTACGTTTATATAAACAAAGGTTTGCGTGACACATGTGACGTTCTGTGTTTTCGTTGCGGATTCGATCATGGTGAAAGTCATATCAACGGGAACATCAACTTGTTGAGGTGTTACTTTCAATACACTCCACACTTAATATTTGATCATTTTTAATATTCCAGAGACCTACGAGAATCAAATTGAATTAGTGTGGATGTATAGTTTCTACATACAATGAAGTTCAATGTTTGTGCTTTGATACCGTATCAATGTTTTCGCTGATCAAAGTTTAACTTTATGTGTAGGTAAAATCGATCGTTAATGAATAATTACAAGGTCACCTTATGCACAATGAAAGGTTGCAAGAGAATGTAAAGAGGCGTGCGGTAGGTGACGACGTGCTCGAGGAAGTCCCAGAGGTGGTGCGCGGCCTCGTTGCGGCGCCCCAGGTCGCGCATGGTGCGCGCTATGCGGCCCCACTCCGTGCACAGCTCGCTCGTGAAGCATGCGCACATCACCTTCAGAGCTGGGGTGCAAACACGTGCGGGTTCGTTACTAATCTTAACTGGGAATATAATCCTGAGTCGCGGGGACTTTACGAACGTACATGAAACGGACACAATGAACACCCAGACTCGGAACAACGATTTGTGAATCACACAAAGTGACGTTCCATGTGGGAACGAACCCACAATACTTAGCGCAGTAGGAAGCGGCGAGGTGACCGCTTAAACGACTATACCATTCGGGCAGTCACTTTCCCGTCCTCTATCTCTTTTTAACGTCTGATCGATTAAGCGAACCATAATTTTAGTACAAATAATATTTGCATTGGTTAAATTACAGGCAAGCTGTGTTCTAGATTGATTTCAATGCTATCTGCTAAGAAAAGAACCCTTCAAATATGACATCAGTTATTCTAACACCGACCTAAGAACGCGATCCTATATAGTTGATTCGAGAGTCTCGTAGTGTTTCTGGTGTCTCTGCTGCCAGTGAAAGTGAGCGAGTTGGCTCGGGCGTCGGATGCGTTGAGCTTTGCGTTGACTTGAGCGAGCTGGTTCGCAGGGGCCGGGGGACATAACGCATTGAGAACTACCGATACTAAGTAGCTCACGTCCGATTGGCGGAGTGGAGGAACATCTGAAAGAAAATGATATTAGAACACTATAGCATTTATTATTACGCGTACAAATATATTAATTACGTACTGTAAGTTTTTACTGATTGAGTTACGTGATAGCTTTAATTCCCGTACATATACATAATTATATAATATTTAGTTTTATTATTTTATTATTATCAGTGTGGTGACGGATTAAGAATACGGAATGTCACCACCCCTATTATACCCATATCCCTTGGATGTCGTAAGAGCCGACTAAAGGAGCTAAACTACGTAGGATAACAGTACTGTAAAAAGAAGGAAAACTTGACACAAACCCTATACCAACCCGTCTGGCCAGCGTAGTATAGTAGCACAAAATCTCTTTTCTAAGGAGAGGCCTATGTCCAGCAGTGGACTATTAAAGGCTGTTGATGTAATGTGATGTGATTATTTTATTTGGTTACTTGGAAAAAAATACCTTAAGGCATTCTAAATTTAATATTTTATAATTATTATAGTGTACCATACACATACATCGCAATAAATATTCCCAGACAGTTAATAGCCAACTGTGCGTATGTGTTAAAACTGTAGATCAGTACGAAACCAAGCGTTTTCAATAATAGGATAACATTATAAAATAATTATCTGTAATATACCTTTTCTACCACTCCCAACGCGTAAGCAAAGTGGCATAAACAAATTCATTAACATGTTTTCCGTCTTCTCGGCAGACTGGAAAATAGCACTGCCTCCACACATTTGTTCCAACGAATAACTGTCCTAAAATCAGAAGCATTTACTTAGCTGTCTTGCAGAAAGCATAAACGTTAACGAAAAGATTCAATTAAACCGTAATAATCTTGTGAATAAAACTGGTAGCACGATGTGTTATTGCTCTTAGCATTGAATATGATTCTCACTGTAATTAGTTCTAAAATATTAAATTAAATTTAAGTAAGTAGCAAAATAAAGTATTTAAAAAAGGTCACACTGTACGTACCCCTGTGTTAATAACTTGCAACGCTATGAGTCTTACAACGGTGCTACAGAAGTGTGGAGGCGGTGGTTGCGACATTAACGCTGCAGTTGCCGAAGATAAATTCTCTCCGCAATTGTTATCTGACACTATTAGGGCCTACACAATAGTAATATTGTTTTCCATTATTATTATTAGCATTAAAATCAAATTTACATTTATTTATTTTTGTAGTGAGAAAGAGCTAGGCACGCTACAAAATTAATAAAAAAATCTATAAATTATATAAAGAAAGATGGGACAAACAGTCATACTGCAAGAACATGTTATAAACGGCTTTTTGATGTAAAACCTCTTTCCTCTCGCTTTCCCGCAGACTGTAAGTGATTTTGTGAAAAAGGACGGAAATGTGAAAGTCATATGTCGCGCGGTTATTGGCCAAATGAAATATGGTTTGACCAATGAGTAACGAGTAACGACCAACGCGCGATGCTAGAGTAGGCCGTCAGGCAGCGGAGCTTCATGTCATGTGACTACTACTAAACTGGTTAGCTGGTTATTTTTTAACTATATCCAAATTGTAATTAAACTAGTTTAACTATATCTTTTTGTGTAATTGTATAATGTATTACTTAATACATCTTTAACATAGTATAAATGTGCAATTACAAAACCAATGTAAGTAGATCATATACTCGTATTATATAAGTTTGGATATCTTTAATATAATGATTGCAAAAACATGTTTGTTTGTTTGTTACATTTTCACGACTTAAAGATTGGGGCAGACAGCAGTTGCAAGCTGTATATATGTACTATATAGAAGATGTCACACAGTGCCGTCGCCGTTTTGCAGTTTGCCCCAATTTTTACTACTCAGTTCTTTTCTGTCTTGTCCTGTAAGGATATTCACATCAAATAGGGTCTTGGGCTTTTTTACTTTGTGACTTTTTCCAAAAAAATTGTCCCTAGGTAGACAGGGACAGAAAAAACCTTCTATGCGGGCAAACCCGCTATTATAAATATTTAATGTGGTTAAAGAGAGTTACTTGAACTGTATTGAGAAGAGTCTTGACTTGTTGCCAGTGCATTATGTAGGGATATCGTATCATAGTTTCATACACTCCCTTGAGAAGTACTGCTGCGGAATCCCAATCAGTATTTCTCTGCACAAAAGAAAACATTTAAGTCAATAAATTAAAAAAAATTAAAAAATTGCAGATCATTTATGAACTTACCCTAATACTAGGTTTCTTCGCTATCTTTAAAAATACTTTATCAAGCCTCCTCAAAATCATAATAAGAGCTGGCCTTAACGCGTCGTCAGCCCAATCAGCTGCGGGCAGCACTTGGGTCATATACCGTTGCAGACCTCTACACCCCATAGACTCAGGATCATATGGAGACACCTTCAGTAAAGAGTGAGCTATGTCTGCGAGGCGCTGGTGAAAGGTTATAGACAAACATTATGAAAGATTCCTTAGATAATACATAAAAAGTGGAAGAAAATTTATTAAATAATGAGAGCAATTTTTCTGTATTTTGTAATATCCAAACGGGTTCTACACCCCTTTTTGACAACTGAAAACTTTGGCAACAATCAACAATTAGAAAATTTACTTAAATAATAATAATCAAAGAAGCGACTATTAAACATACCGCATGGGATTTAGAATCAAGTAGTTCAACAGGTTTCCCTTCCGAACCTCCACTGCCTTTCGATCCATTCAGTTCCAAGAGACGGGAAGTGGCTCGACCAATGAAGTCGCCAACCAGTGACAGTAATACATCACGTGGTCTTCGGTATTCAGCACGTACTAACTAAGGAGTTAAAGTTTTAAACGTTATTTTTAATTTGAGATGATTCTAGAACTCTGACAGTCCGAATGTCGAAACCAATTAGAACTTTTACCTATAGGTTTAATATATGATCTCAATAAATTGTAGAAGCAGCCTTACAAAATGACTTACTTCTGAATCCTCAGCCCCTGCATATTCTGGTATTCCTGGCATCTTCGAGTTGTCATATTTGGAGTGTGATTCTTCAAATGCTATTATTGTAGCTGCAGCGGTACGAGGTCCAGTTCGTTGTGACGAACCTTTGTGTTCCGGAGAAGTTCTGTACGGCCCGTTGTATGATCTACGATAATAATTAGAGAACGTTAAGTTTAAAGCCGAAGTAAGCCCAGAACAACGTTCATTAAAGTAACTGTACTAATAAAATTTACTTAGAAAGTCCTTCACAGTTGTTGACAAGAGTCTTGATGGCGATGGCCAGTTGCTGAATTATTTCCTTTTCAGTCTTCCCCTCTCTATTGTATGTCGGCAGTTGGATTTGCTTCACGTAACAAGGCAGAATCGCTTCCAGAATTATCTGTAATTCAACACATTCAAATATCGAGAACTTACATCACATGCTGTGACATTCAAGAAACTGTCTTGTCACTGACTACTAAGTATATATCCTGTACATATAATAATGTTAATAGTTACTAAACAATCATCATATAAGACTTAAAAAATGATTCGTTATAAATAACTCATATTTTTAACCAACATACACGCGGGCGGAACCGTGGGCAAAAGCTAGTCTATACAAATCAATAAAATTGAAGTGTCTATTAATAATGTCAAAATAATGTTTTTCATACTCACATGGTTATTGGCACGATACCTATGCCTAAAAAACAGTTTAAATAATTTATTTGTCTGTCTGTTTGTTCTGGGTAAGCTTTGAAACGGCTGGACCGATTTCGATAATATTTTTCTACCAGGTAGCTGTCTACATAAGGAGTAACTCAGAATATTTTTCCTTTCAGAAAAACCCTATATAATTTTGCCCGGTCTGGGAATCGAGCCCGAGTCCTCGTGGACTGCAGTAGCGTACACACTAAGGCGGCGCTTTTCAAATTGAGTAGTAGAATATAAAACTAAAGTTCTTACCAGCATCTGATATCCCCGCATACTCTCAGCAGAATATGACACGACCATTACACACAGACTAATACAATCAAGTACATTGACCATCTCATCTTCATCGCGGTAACAAAAATCTATAGGCTTTAAGGGTTTTTCTTCTTTGATTAGTTCAGCAATGTGAAGTGGATCGGGCGACGGAGTCTCCAAGCTTAGCAGGAGATTGAATAAGCAGCTAGATTGCACCTGGAGGAAAATGATATACCTACTTAAAAATTGTTTGAAAAATTAAAATTAAAAGTTAAAGTCAATAAATTAAGTCCTCAGACGCAAAACAGCACCGATAGTTGTACACCGAGCTCGAAAAGTGAATTAGGCATTCCTTAAATCGAGGTCGACCTTGTTAACATGCCGGAGGGTGCGAACGGACATTTTTTTTTAAATAATTTACCCACTTCGTCGAACAGCTCGATATGCCTGGTGACCGCATCGGAGTCGTTATTCCGTACCGATATCAGTAAAAGTACCAGGCTTCAAATGAAGCAATATCCTAAAACATTTTCATTACACAAATAGATTTAGCAAGTGCGTCAAGAAGAAACTTAGAAGATTACATTATTAGTAAGAGAGATAAGTTATTTAATAATATTTTTGAAATTAAAATGGGTTGGTAAGTATGATACCTTGCTTGCATCTCCGTATGTAGATTCTTCATCAGTATCTAAAATAGCCGAAACCGATCCAAACATTTGCAGTATAAACGGTTTGCGATTGAGTAAGTAAAACTGTTTTACAGCATACTCTATGGTGGTGGTTACTAATTTATTTGTTTGGAAGTTTGAATATATCTGTAGTAATGTCGGCATGATCAGTAGGTACCTGAAAATTTAACAAAATGTAAATAAAAAGCGAAGAAATAGTGTAAGAGATTTCCTAAAGAAAGAGACAATAGGAAGAGTCTAGTCACGTTATCAGATCGGTTAAATATTAAAGAGAAAAGCTATATAAAGGTTTTTGTGTTAAATTATAACACGCCTTAGAAGGGACTCCTTACCCATTGGTAGAGAAAATACTTTTGAAGTTGAATGCCGCATTGACGTATGTGGCGATGACATATCTCAGTATCAGGGAGTCCTCGCTGTGCAACATGAGGGCACCGTTGAGTACATTCAGAAATAAATGAATGTCTCGGGACGATGTGAAATTACCGGCCATGGCCTCGAACATGCGAGCTATTAGACGCACCCACCTAAAAAAGATTTTTTTCTTATTAAAAAGACAATTCCTGTATTAGGAAAATATCCTGTGTCGCGGGGACTTCACAATTATACATAAAACAGATCGGTTGCCTCTATTTGGCAGTATCTTGAATCTCCGAAATTTATTTCGCATTGCATACTTGGCAGAATTCTTTAATGAATATTTTAAGGCATAAAAATGATTTAGTATAAATATCGTTTGACCGAATGTTTATATGTCCGAATTTACAAGAGCATACTTTTAAGATGGCATAATTTTATTTAGCACCTTACCTTACCTTTGGCAGAGTTAAAATTCCGCAAAATTCGTTAAGCATAACATTTATTTAGAGCGACGATCATTTGGTACAATTTCATTTAAAATAATTTTATTAGGCCAATTGCCATAAAATTGCATTTTTAACCTTAAATTAAAATATTATCTTAAAAAGTCTGTGACAGAAACGAATCGCTGCAAAACCGACTCCACGTAGTCTTGTCTGCCCGGATAGGACAATTTAAGAGAGAGAGTAATGTAAGCCCGCGTAGGCGCGGAGGGGCGAGGCGGCCCCCGAGCTGAGGGGGAGGTGGTTTCAGCGCACGCTGTCGCGGCAAGGCTGGCCGGTAAAGCCGGCCAGCAAGCCGAAGCTACGGTGGTGAGTATGAATGAAGTGAATTCATCTGCGACGATAAGTTTGATATGCTACTTACATAAATTTATGTAGTACATCCAATCCTAATAGGGTAGAGCCGAGAGGGCCGCGGCTGTAAAGTACAAGATCAGCTTCCAGCGCTTTGCGAGGGAACGATGGGAGCTTCATTAGCTCGTCGTGTAGAAATACCACACGTTGGACAACCTGCAATATAAGAAACTTTTGTTAAAGATAACAAAGTATTAAAACGACTTCTGGAGTTAAAAGACTCGACATCTGTGTAGAACAGTGATCGTTATCGGACACTACTATAGAAAATACTAAGATTTTGCAAAGCCTTTGCAAAACAGATTATGTCGAGAGGCAGAGAAACTGTACGAGTACATGGGCTTCGTTACAAACTAATAATAAATAAAAGTAACATACAGGTCACATACCATGTCAACATTCTTAAGTATGGCCCAAGTTAGTAATACTTTGCCAATTTCTACAAACTTTTGCAACAACTCTTGCTCCTGTAGTTTAAGGAACGCTTCATCAGGTTCCATGTGTACTAACCCCAACTGTGGGTACTGAGAACGTTTGAAGAAATAATGATCCCGGACGTAACTTTGAGGATTATGTATTTGACCTAGAAATAAAACAGTAAAAGTAGCTTATTTTATATATAATAAAATTCAAATGTTGTCGGGTGTAGGTATTTTTATTACTTACGTGTTTTAAAATCCACTAGAAAATGTTCGCGGTGAAGCCTTTCTGGAATGCCGAAGAAGTCTAATGATTCTTTCAATATTTGGCTAAATACTGTGTCTTCTTGGACCGGGAATTGCGACGGTATGCTTCCTTCGTTATCGGCTAAAATAGTCATTATTGCAAAGTTACATGTCTGTGCTTTGTCTTTTTTTTGTAAATAAAGATGAAAAAAAAATGTTTTTCTGGCCATTAATATAGGGTTGTAATTATTTATTTATTTATTTATTTATTTATTTATTTTCTTATTATTATGTCATAAATAAAACTGGGTTAATATTTCTATCTTCGTTACATACTTACAAAATATGAAACAGTGTTTCTATTTTCATTACATACTTATAAAATGTAAAATAGTGTTTTGACACTATTTTATTTCTTCCTATTTTGTATTGTAATTGGAGGGAGAGAATAATACTATTGATTTTTCAGTTAAATACTTTAACATTCTCATGATGTAACCTTGTAATGATGTAATAAGTATAAAATAAATATAAGTTGTGTGTATTTGATATTTAAGATTTTTTTTAAACAGAAAAATGAAAGGAATCAAAAAGGCATATACCTAAAAAAGCGGTTTTAATTTCTATATTGCATTTTACTTACATGGACCATGCACAATTATCTTCTTCGCAGCAGGCACGTTTGCCGTCAACAATATAGACGCATCACACTGCTCTTTTCGTAAAATCTGCTTTAGATCCTTAAACATTATACCGTGCACACTATGTACTACCTGAAATTAAATTGTTGCGTCTCTTTACAATCAGCTTCAGAGAAGATACATATCAAATTATTATTGGAAATGTATTATTAGAGAGATATATATAAATATTTTCTTAGGTTATTATTTAGTAAAAATAAGGCGGAACTTCATCTCACCATCCACAATATTGACAATGCAGCTCCAACAAGCCTTTGACCTTCTTCGTGTGGACTTCTAACATAGAACATGACATATCCTATAATGTAGTTGTAAAGAGCAAACGCTGCTTGTTGGGGTAATCTTGGGATGAAACGAATCAAGTGACGCAGAAGCTTGAACATTTCGTCTTGATGATCTCTGGTCAAACGTTCGAGTACGTGACGTAAAAATAGAGCAGAGTCTTCTACGAGGCAACACCATATAACCTGAGAAGAACGTAAAAGTGGTCATATATGTCAAGCTGTCCTTTAGTAAATTACTGGAAATTCTGTAAATATTTATAAGCAAGATAAAGTGGCATTGGGCTAGTCATGGAGCAAACAGGTCGCTACAGTTGAGACAGTGGATCGATAAACGGGAGGTAGCACAGCCACAGGGACTGACGATCTCTTGTTGATTGTGAGAGTAATAGATTGGTTAATCAAGGGGCTTATTTGCTCAAAAGGAGCATAGTGGACATTTGCATTTCTACACCTTTCTAAGAGAATGTGTCCAGTTACATAATTTAAGCAGATAGGATTTAGTAAAAATTACCTGATAAGCTACTTCATAAACTGAACAGCCATCTCTGGAGACGGCTGCATCGTCCAACAGAGATATAATTTCTGCGACTGCAGAACATAATGTTGAAGGGAATAGAGCCGATGCCACTTGAGTATGATGAGATCCCCGCACACCTTCCACTAACTCTTCGTCTGCAGGAGCTGTGGTAATTTCATTGTATTGTAGCTTTTTTTGAAATCTATTGACTTTATGTACATACACACATATAAGTGCTTACGTTCAACATGATCATCAGCGGCGTGATCCAAAGCAGGTTCCCTTGCGGCCTGTCTTGTAATTGGTATTGTAGTGATTAGGAAACTCTCTCGCTCAGCTCTCTTTTTGTCATTGCGCTGTTGTAACGCCCGCTTTATTGCCTCTGTTTGTTGCTTCTTGCGCGTCTTGGTGGCGGTTACAAGGGAACGCTGTCATTTGGAATAATATCTGTTAGTTATTAATTATTATAGCTTGCCGTATTTTATCTTTGACTATACTGTAAATTAGTGAAGCTAATCGAAAATGTATAAGCAATGCATGTCCAATAAACAACGATTATTTTGAACGTTGTTAGTTATTGATTAAGTGAGTGTGGAATGCACTTCGTTCACTTTTATGCTATATACACTAAATTCAATGTTACATTATGCTAAGTACGTAACGAATATGTTGCGTGGTGGATTTGATGACTAAAATATGAATTACTTGATGGATACTGGAAAACTCCCATAACTTTTCGGTTTTGCTTCTGAGAAAAATGTAATAAATGCTACGAGTATTATAGATTTTACTACTGACGATACGGTTTTTTTTAAATCTATAAAGCAACTACAGCATGACAAGTAATTTTTAACGGCTCCAGGAGTTTTTATAAAGCGGTAGCAGGTAAGCAATATAAATTGTGAGCGAGCAGCTAAGAAAAAAGTGGTAAAGAAACATGTATACTGCACTACAGACTTCTCATCTGCCAAAATCAATCAATCGCGTAAAACCAATATTCACAGATTAGGTATTTTTTTACTATCATAAATTTAGTTCAAATTAGACCTTACATGTCTCTCCTGATTCAAAGTCATCTCCATATCTTTGTCTTTAACCTGTGGGCTCCACGGCGGGTCAACGACCGCGAGTGACTCGATGCCGATCTTCGGTGATGGTAGTGTGAATTCTATGCCTGGTGGTGGCACTTTGAAGGTTACCGAGGCGCCTTCTTCCATACGAGGCCATACTTGGTAGCGGAGTTTCCACATTACTTGGAACCGCAATATGGCGTTTATTCTGTAATATCAAAATGTTGATACGTTGATAATGTTAAGCAATTCCTGCGTAGCTGTAGGTGTATCTAAAAAATTGCTACTTTTAATAATAAAAAAAGAAAGGAATAACTATTTGATCCAAAGCAACTACTTGGTCCAAAGTTAAGTAAGGCTAAGTAAGACTATATCTAATCGTGTATCTCAGCCTACCCGATTGGATATAGTATTACCTCTTTAGGCATCTCCTGCAGATTACTTTTAACTATGAGTGTTGGTTTAGCAGTAGATAAAATGCCCTGATAGTGAATGTTTCATTCTAACACTAAACACAAAACCTTTTTGGATTCAATTGCATTCATTCGGAGCATCGAAATCAGTAGACGTCTTATGAGTTTAAATAATAATCTATAACAAACTTTAAAAAAAATTGAACATGTCGAAATCGCAAATTTTCCTTTTTTTAGAAGATAATTCCTGCACTAGGAATATATCCTATGTCGCGGGGGAATACATCTTATGTATACTATACACACATTCATGAAGCGGACACAAAGCACACCCGGAATCAGAACAACTATTTGTGGATCACACAAAGTGTTGTCTCATGTGGGGATCGAACTACGTCATCCGTAAGTCAAGACAACAATCTAGCATTTGGTCAAAAAAGCGAGATCGAATCCGAAATACTACCTACCTTGTTGTCGGTTCAGCATGTTTCAGATCATTATGCATTATTTCTGTGGCAGTATGCGGCGCTTTTACCGCTACCAGTATGAACAGCGCGGCCGCACACGAACTAAGCTCACGATCAGATTCCAAGAGAAGCTGCCAAGCGACAGGCGCACACTCCGCGAACATTTCCTCGCTCATTGTAGTTGCACCTTTGATGAGCGTCGCTAGAGGAGTGTGGTAGGCGTCGCGTACCTGTTATACAGACAGGATTTTGTATTGACTAGTTTATTACCTTCTTACTACATTAAAAATAAATTAAGAATTAAAGGACGCTTCTTCCAATGTGATTATGTGGACTTTTTTATTTGTTAGCGATAGACAGTTAAATTAAAGGGTATATCTTTATGTATATTATTGCTACTATAATAACAAATAATAATGCATTTAAAAAGTTATCTCACATGCAAGAAACGTGGTTGTGTGTTGGTAAACACATACAAATTTTAATGAGTACTTTTTACTCTCTCTCTTTTACTCACTCTCTCTCTACCCACCCTTAGTACTATAGGTGTAAGAACGACGAATAATGAAAATATAATAAAATTGAGGGTTCTAATACTCTAAAACCTTAAATTTTGTTTTTAGTACTTGGGTTTTAGGAAAAAAAACATTATTTTTCCAATGGTACAATTTTTTTTTAATAATTATTTTCTATGACTCATGTTTTTTATTAAGTGTAGACCTATGATACGTCACTTGTTAAGAGATTTTTTTTTTTTTAAGTATAAGAAAGAGAGAGAAGGGTAAGAGCGGGGGGCTGGAGACATCTTGGATTTAATAAGATCCTCCATTGTATGAAACATCATATATTCTTAGTAATGTGAAGGTATAATAATAATAATAATAATAATTTATTCAAGTAAGTAATTTGTACATGGCATACAGTGTTGTCTTATAATACTTAAATTTACAAGAAAAAAAAAAAAAAACCAGTACAACATATATACAATAGTCATAGGACTCTCTTTCCTAAACTAGGCAGGGAACCTGTCTGTATCTTAGGTAAGAGTATCCATTTATAATGTCTTATATCGGTTACAAAAATAAAATTTTGGTACATGCAGTGGGTGAACAAAGTACTTATGTTATTAAAGAATTAAAATAAAACAAAACAAGAAGTGTCTATCTGTGTGTGGTATGTGTGTGTGTGTGTGTGTGTGAGTGTGCGTGTGTGTGCGTGTGTGTGTGAGTGTGTGTGTGTGTGTAAAAATCTCATTCTACTGTAAAGTGGTTAGAAGCTCCTCGGTATCACTATATGTTAACGTCTGTAGCCAGGAAATGAGTTTTTTTTTTACCTCACTCTTAGTCAATGCGTAAATATTTAATTGTTTGTGGGCTTTGTTGTAGAGTCTAGCACTTAGGCCATTAAACTGTCGTCTTGCAAAAGCAGTCCTGTAGGGGACAGTTGGACATAAAGGAAAGCCACGACGCCGCTGACTAACAAGCTGCTTTTTGAACGAAATCGTAGAATGCTTGCGGTCGATGGATCTTAAGATATATAATTGTCTAACAGATAGGACATTACATTCTGAGTATAACATATACGTCGGGTAGTCACGTGGTTTAAAATAAATTATTTTTAACAATTCCCTTTGAGCCCTTTCTAACTTAAGTAACTCAGTTTTATGAGTCCCCCCCCACACAGGTATACAGTACGTCAGGATGGATTGACACAGAGCCAGGTAAACCATTCGGAGAGTATTGTTATCCGCTGAGAACCTTAGGTTTTTAAATATATATATAAGTCTTCTGATACGAGAAGTTAATGACTCCAATTGAGTGGTCCAGTCTAGTTTGTGATCGACGAACACTCCGAGATATTTTATGGATTCAACCCTAGTCAACGACAGACAGGTACAGGCTTCACTGTTATGCGGACAGTTATGAGCTATTAGATTGCCGGTTCCTTCAACGGGTTTTGGTGTGTGTGGTAGAATAAAACGTAAAAATTTGGTCTTTGAAACATTTAACGTTAGTAGGTTACTTGCTAACCAATGCATTACTGTCCGTAAGGCGTTTTCAGTGTGTAATTTAGCGTCATCCCAACTCTTACCATATGTCACTAGGGCAGTGTCATCTGCGTAAGTGAAAATATCACAATTGACGACAGACAGATTACAAAGGTCGTTGACATAAATTTGGAAGAGAGTTGGGCCCAAAACACTTCCCTGGGGAACTCCAAATGTTATTTCTTCCTCTGCACTAACTATACCATCTATCTTGATAGATTGTCTACGGTCAGAAAGATAGTCTTTAAAGATGTCAAGCGCTAGACCTCGTATACCCAGATTTTCCATTTTCTCAATGAGTTTGGGAATACAGACAGTGTCGAATGCTTTACTGAGATCTAAGAAGATGCCATAGCATTTCAATTTTCTGTCTAGTTTGTCAGCAACCGACTGTACCAGGTCGACCACGGCATCTTCCGTAGAGATGCCATATCGGAAACCATATTGGTTATTGGCGAGGATGTGAAATTTTGATAAATAATTAATTAGGTAGTTGTTAAGAACTCGTTCCATGATTTTAGACAAAGCGCTTAAGACGGAGATAGGACGATAGTTAGAGATCTGGTCTTTATCTCCCGTTTTGTATACAGGGGTGACTAACGCTGTTTTAAAGGCCCTCGGGAATAACCCCTGTGATATGGCAAGGTTGCAGATATGAGTGATGGGAGGCACAAGAACGTTTTGAGCCATTTTAATTAATTTGGCTGGTATCTTGTCCCATCCCGTGGCACAGTCTTCCCGAAGAGTGTTTATGATAATCTTGACATCACTTGCACTAACCGGGAGAAGTGCGATCGAGTTGAGCATTCTGTATTTGGGTGTCAGATCTCTGTCACCAGGGAATGTAATTATTTTAGAAGCCAACGTCTTCCCCATGTCAGCAAAATATTTGTTAATCAGGTTTACAGAACATGAAGGGTCCGCAGATAATGTTAAGAGCTTCGTAGCTGGCTCATTTTTTTTTTCTGTATGGGTTAGCTTTTTGATCACCTTCCAAGTGGCTTTGCTATTATTTTGGGCTCTAGTAAATTGAAATTTTTCATAAGAACGTTTGAGTTTATTAATAAGCCGATTACAAAAATTTCTGTATCTTGTATAAGTTATTTTGAGAACAGTGTTCTGCGGATCTGAATTTAGCTTTGAATGCATACTGTCTCGGTTTTTAATGCACCGAATAAGACCAGATGTCATCCAAGGTTTTATAATTCTAGCCTTTCTTGAAATTTTGACATGTGAGGTGTGAGCTAGAACAATGCCTCTAAGAGTAGTGATTAAGTTATCTGCAGCAATGTTGGCATCGGTAGCGTCCATCACCGGGGCCATGTCAGCGCTTTCCACATCTTTTACGGCATTAGTATAGCTCAAACGCATGACTGTCTGTTGATTAAATTTACGGTTCACCTTGATTCTGTCCATACATAAAGCCGTAGCATGATGATCCGTGATACTCATTTCTAATAAGAAAGCCTTTGATGGAGATTTAGTTTTGAGTAAAATATGGTCTAAACAAGTGTTTGAACTTGGTCTTGTAGGATATAGAAAAGCTGGCAGAAGGCCCAATGTCGCTGTATGTAGAAGGTATTCGTGTGAGTCTGGGTCCTCATTGTCAGGTTTAATATCAACGTTCAAATCACCCATTACTATAACAGATTTGCTGCTTTTTAAAGCAGAGACAGCAGTTTCCAAGCTATTATAGAAATTAGTTAAGTTAGTGTATGAAGGTGAACGATATATGCCTATAATTGCAGTGTCTTGTGTGCGACAGATTAGGCAATTTGCGTCCACAAAGAAAGACGGTTCTGTCACAGTACATTGAAGGTTATTTTTAACGTAGATTACTACTCCATCATTTTGTATTGGGTTATTTATAGTGGAATACGCGGTATAACCATCTATAGTTGGGGTTGGGCCAGAGTTTTTCAACCGGCATTCCGTCAGTATTATGAGGTCAAATTGTATAGGCATTTGTGCAAGAACAATTAAAAAACTATCAAGATTTTTATGAACACTACGAATATTCATATGAATAATTTTAATAGGCGATCTCGCTTCATTTTGTAACGAAGTGTATGTATGAGGGGCACAGACCTCAAAAGTTGCTATACTATGTTGATCAATTTCATCAAGAATGTTATTTAGACAAGCCATTTATAATTTAATTTTAGTTTAATTTTAATAGGTCTCAAAGAATGCATATTTAATAAGTTTTTTTGAGTTGTACAATTTCGAATAAATGTTTGTGATTTAGTGTGGTGTGAAAGTAATTGCGTCAGTCTTTGTAAATAAAAAATACTTAGAGCATTAGAAAAGGTGAGGTAGAGCTTCGTGCGTGATAGATCGTACGTGTAAGTTGTGCAGTGTGTAGAAAAAGGATTGTGTGTGCGGAGTTTGTGACTCATGTCAAAAATTTTTAGACATTTACAAAATATTACTAAGCTATATATAGCTGAACAAAGAGGCAGGATAATTATGTAGCACAGTTTGAACAGTCATTTCCTTTTCAGAATGGTTGCCAGGCAGCCTTCCGTCTTGACTGTGTAAGTTTCTTTGTACTCCGGGCCTCTGCGTAGGAGAATCTTACCATTCGAAATCCAGCAGAATTTAAAGCCATTCTTTTTGGCAAAGTCTCTAGACTGCAGGAATAGTTTCTTCATTGAGCCGGGAAGATATTCATCGACATATATCGGTTTTTTATCACCGCACATGCCTACTACTTGCGTATTTAATTTATCTTCTAATTTTCGGCTTTTATTGAAACTGCGAGATGCCGACAGGTAGTTGGTTTTAGTACGCACAGTAGAAAACTCAGCCACAATAGCTTTGTTCGTCCCAGGTTTGGCTGGTAAACGATATATATCGCGTATTTCCGACGCTGGTACTTCAAAGTTGATAGTTTTGCCGATCTGAGACACAATATCAATCATATCCTCAACTGATTCATTTTCTTTGTTCGGAACATTGCGTATTTCGACAGTAGATGACCTCGAACTCAGTTTCACATCTTGGAGTTGCCTCTCGAGCCTGTTGATAGTTTCAGGTATAAATTTAATAGTTTTAGGAGTTACCTGTCCCTTTAGATATTTGAGTATAGCAGGTGTGTCGGGAGGCGGATAGGGCATTGCCGCAGGGCGAGAACCGGCGGCAGGATCCGACATTGCCGCGGTTTGCTCGCCGACCGCCGCCCGGTACGCTAGCCCAGCGCTCTCTATTACTGAGCGCTCGATTCTATACCATAAAATGATTACTTTGTACCTCTATTATCGAATGTATTTATCAAAAGCAGGTATAGCAAACTGGGATTAAAATAATAAACTAAAAAATTATCTTTATTGGTACGTAAGGTTTTACAGCATGAACTTGCGACCCTATATGTATATCATATACATATAGGGTCGCAAGTTCATGTTGTAAAACCATTGTGAAGAACCGGTGAATCCATAGTGAAGGTGAATCCGAAAACGGTGTGCGACAAGGATGTATCTTATCTACTATCTCGAAAGGGAGCTGGCAGTAACTTCAGATATGCCGGTTATTTTATTTATTTAAAGCTTAATGCACATGTTGTACAATGGCCGACTTAATGCTATTAGGCATTCTCTCCCAGATGTAGAAATATGATGCGGTAGGTGCAAAGATAAAGTGTTAAATTATGAACTATTCAAATGAGTTGAGGAAGATGTGGATGATCAGGACGATCTTCAGTAACCAGAAGACCAATGCCAGTTTAGAACTTTATTTTTAAGTAAAAATCAAACAGAGTTACTAACTTATTTGAATTACAATTTACAATTACCAGAATACAAGAGAATGTTACGAAATAAATATAGCAGCAAAATGGTACCATACTGTGTATACCTATCTGCAGAATGCTCTGAGGATTTGCGCGTGCGCCGTCCTCTGCGAGCACTTCCATTTCCCTCTTCTGAACTCGCAGTGTTTATTTCCGGACCAAATTTCTCTCCATAAATCTGTATTTTTTTTATAAATAAAACAGGGTTGCTCTTAATGCCATGCCATCTTTTTGTAGTGAACTATGTATTTCATTTCTTAATTTATTAGTTATTATTGTATATTGCACATTATTTATTGTCTAGTAATAATAACAAATAATGAAATTTACCAAAGCCTTATTCTTTCGTTATTTACGCTTGTTAAGCTTAAAAAAGCCTTTTTATTGAAGAAAATTATGGTGTTGTTATATTTTCTATAATCAGCATAGTAATATGGTATTATATACTGTTTAAATGATCCTCAAGAATTGGGCTTTAATTTTTTTCAGATAGTTTAAAGGCCTTTATTAAGTTTACAACTTGGTATTAAAATAAAAGTTCTTAATATTAATAAAAGGTTTTTACCTTTTGAACAGACTTCATCAGTCGCACGCTAGCTCGCATGTTGCGACGGAAGCAATAGGGATGACAAAAGTTTTGATGGCAGCACACGTAGTTGAAAGAATTTAAGAATTTCACCATGACCTAAATAAACACTTCGTTAATAATTATTAAACATTTATTCCGAGAGAAAAGTTGTAGTAGTAGTAAGTAAAAGACTTACTGCCCAAAGTTTAACCTAACTCTCATGTGAGATCGATAGAGAATCGGTGAATTTAGTTGAATGTTAATGTTTTGCTATCGAAATTTACACACGAACTACAGACTACGTGTGTGGTACACATCATAGACATGCATGCATGTACGTGATGCGCACAAGCACACACAAACTCAGAGAGAAATATACAAACACCCAGGCCTACACAACACCTCAACATATTTACTTATTTTATTGAATTAATTATACCTAGTTGAAAAAAATGGCACACGAGAGATATTCCATGTAGTCGAAGTGGCGGGCACTGGTTAGTACCTTATTATGTATTGTTTTTTGATATACCTAACTATGAAGTTCGGATAAGTAATACATGTATACTCAATACTGCACTACTATCATTGCTACTATTAGTACCTGTTACAAACACACCTTAAGCCAGGGGAATCCCTTATTCGTGTCGGGTGGGTCTGTTGAATTACTGTCAGGGCTGTCGGGAGGATGATCGTGGTCATCAGACAGTACACCCGGGCTCTCTTCACCGCCGCTATCAACTTCGTTTGACATTATAACTGTGCCACCTATGAAGCAGAAGTTGATCTTAATAGCTGGTCAATATGTACATTAAGTTCTCTAATCTTATAAAATTTTATAGGTTGATTTATCAACCAAAAATGCACAATATTACGTTTCCGTCGGCTACTAGTTCAGATCAGAATGGATCAGAAACTTATCAATCTTCATTTTAAGTTTGACTTAGCTAGTAAGTCATTTAGTTTTCAGTTAGTTCTGTTTTTATGTTCTTATATCAATTAATTAACATTATTCTTAACAACTAAGTTTTACCCTCAAAACTTTACTATAAAGCATTCCATATTTAAAAAAAGATACCGCTACTTGGCGAAAGAAAATGTAATCTACGTACCTATTTATATCAGTGCAATTATAAGTGCAACTTGTATATGTTTGCTGATATAATAATTATTTAAGGCGTTTGATACATTTATGGTTTGAATGTTCGTGTACTCATTATTAAAAGCTATACTTTTGTATCAAAATTACCATGTTTCGTACCGTATCTGAGTTTTATCCTAGGGGATTACCGTAACCTGTAATTTAATTTACTAAATTATAGTGTTAAATAACAGCATACCTGTACCTGGGTAAACTTCTGACGTATCACTTCTATCGGACAGTGAAGATACTTTTCTTCGGCTTTGTATTGAATCAGATCTTCTTGTGACAACTAAGCCAAAAAGAGGAGTATATAATGATTCACTGTCGAGCTTTGATGGTTTCTTTGGTATAAAGTTTTAATAGGTTTATGATTTTAGGTAAAAAAGGCACCGTGAAATCACACAAATAATAGTGGTTTTATCGATCTATTTTCAACCGACTTAAAAAAGGAAAATATTCCCTATTCGACGTGCTTTTGTGTCTATGTTGAGCGATATCTTCGCTATTTTTTGGTATCATTTAATTTTATTTCACCTCTGAAGGTGATAAATATAAACAATTACATTTGAGTACAATTGGATTGTTTTAGAAAATATGCTAGATAGTTAAACAAACATAAATATCTTTCTCAGTCATGCACTGGTTTCATTTTCGTTCAAATATTATCTTATTAATCAATGGTTTTTTTGTTATCTTTTTTGAATTATGTTTGTGAAATGTCAGAACTATTACAGTGTAGTGATAATAAAGTGGTAGAAGTTGCTTACATTCTTCTACTTCTCTATTGTCCTTTTGTCTCAGTTTGATAGAGCGTCGTTTGAAGGAGCCGTACGCGGAGTGTGTTTGTTGCGTGTTCCGGCGATGCATGCCTGCTTTACCTCTTGATCCCAGTCGACCCTTCTTATCGTCTATTGCCGGAGGTATCGCGTCCGCTAACTTATGTGTAAAAATATTTTAGGCTAAATATATCTCTTAGTAAATAAGTATTTGTTTTGTACCTTTAATAATAATTTAATAGACACTAAGGGAAGGTCTCTAAACGATTATATCAATTAACTGTGATTAAAATATATAATATTAATATTTTCAAACATCTGACACACAGCGCCATCTAGTTTCAAAATAAGCAGAGCTTGTACCATAGACCACTAACCACTAGACCAACAAGCCCGTCGATATGACTATGACTACTATGACTATGAAAGCTAATTGACTGATAAAATACTTATATACCTTTTTTTTTGTAAAGACATACATTTTAATCATAGAAAACAAGTAGTATTCATATTCATTAAAAACATACGATATTACACGTCTATTTCAGGGACGTCCGACTACCCTTTACCAGGAGGTGATGCTTCACTTGCTCATCTGCCGCGCCCGAAAGTGCTAAGGCATACCGCACCGTATTTGCAAAAAAAATTACAAGATCTATTATTTGTAAATATTATTTATGTAATATACTCACAGTTACATTACTTCCGCCAGACACATTCTCTGGTTCATGTAAAACAAACGATATCTTTCTCTCTGTTTCTACTCCGGCTATTGACTGCAAACTTTGCGCTGACGCTTGTGAATGACCCATGCTCGATAGAGCCATGCTCCAACGACGGTTTGCTTCCCTGTGACGCAAGTTAACATACTGTTATATTCCGACGTCGCATGCCGTTCTCCAAGAGTCGCGTGGCATTATACTAGCTATGTACTGAATTAGCTTCTATTTTTCACTGCTATACAATTTTGGTAGAATCTCTGCAGATCGACGCATGCCAATGTAGCAAAAAGCTTTTTACTTTTTTTCTAATTGTATCTAAACTATTTTATCACTTATCAAAAAAAAACTATTTGATAAATTTTGAAAGAGTGTATTCCACAAAATAATTTAAAATACTTGTGTGTATTTTAGAATAAGTTTTATTGTTAGCCATTTAGGTGTATAATATTACAACATACCATGCATTTAATTGTGCGTTAGCACGGTTTACCAAGTATTTGAATCATTGTTAAAAACAAGAACGTGTTTATAAGACTATCACAATCGTCGCCAAAGTACATGAGTTTTTGGCTTGGATAATATGATTTTGTTTATTCGATGGTAATATTTCTACTAGAAAGCATTCCATTATTAACTTCTGGCTATCAAAAGTCATGCTGCATATGGTAACGATTGCAAAAAGTCCCGAGTGCCAAAATGGTCAATAAGTGAACAATATTCGCTATACGAGTCACAATAATTGTCCAAGTGATTTGCACATAATACTTCCATTTTAAAAGTGTACGTAATTCAATATTATGTACATACTACATACGCATGCACGCTTAGTGCCGTATGCAAGGAAACATGCATTATTTCTTTTGTAAACATACTCGACTGGCATTAATGTGTGTTGACTGCTAAGAGCCCTGTTAAAATAAAAGTATTGTCAAATATATGCACTCTCTTTAATACATTGTATATGAACGGAACATAATGAACTCACTTAGTCTTACACACAATACGTCGTTTTTCCATCCATCTTCGCATAACATAATGACAGAAAATAAAATTGTTTTACACCAATGAATTTAGTAACTACTTACCAAAATAATCTTTATTATGACAAGTGAATGTGGTACCTGTAAACTTTGTCCCAAGGTCCTCTTTCTTTTAGTGACGCTCGGCCAATTTTTGGTAAGTTCTGATATCCTTCGCGAAGGAACGCTGTGATTTCAAATAATAGTACGCACGCGATGATTCGTAAGGCGCGAGGGCATTCAGCTCCGATGGGCTTTCCAGGGACGCGAATACTCGCTATGGGTAAGATTACAATATTTATGTTTGATTATTCTCATCTGCCTATATAATGTTAATTAAATTTTTAGAATTAGTAAATTAGTAAGCAAACATGACCGAGAGATTAAAAAGCCAAATGTAAAAGGAATATACTTAGTGACATGGGTTACATTACTAGTTTTCATGTTAATCCCTCCATCTATTTGTAAGAGTGCGGTGCAACCACTTAATAATCCAGTGAGCCTATAAATGTTTACCTTCATCAAGGAAATCTTCCTCTTCATCCTGTTGTAACAGTTCTCGTTGACCGTCAGGCTCATTAACCAAATTGATAACGGTATCGATGTGCTTTTTGTCTTCTATCAACATTTCTTCTAATCTATTTCCTATAGCCTAGAAAATAGAAAAACAATAGTTATTTCCTCAAGGACACTTTTAAGAGTGTTTAAGTCTTTTATTACATAATTGAGTCGCTTTACTTCAAACTCGGATAAATCCAATTCGGAGAATTTTTAAGATTTTGGTATCAAAAGAAAGGGTAAAAAGCAAGCTTTGAAATAATTATCTCAGTTATGTATAAAGCCGCAAGGTTTTTGAGAAAAAAACCTTTAAAGTAAAAAAAATATTTTATCAAAATCAGATGGATCCATGAGACATGTTTTTTTAATTGTAGTTAAGTCCATCCGAGCCAAACAGCGAATTGCTTTCGTTCAAATGCCCGTCAGTTGACGTTGCAAAAAGCATCTATACATTCAATATTTTAAATATTACATGAACTGTCCAAACATATTTGTGTAAGTAGGGTATAGGATATACAGGAATAATAAGTTATGAAATATAAGTGCCTTGTGGAGTTGGCCGTCTGGATATATTTTGCATTTTATTTATATGCCTATATAAACTAAATTCCTAAATTAAAATTGAATTGTGTGAAATGTCCAATAATGGTTTAGAAATTTTAATCCAAAGATTTTCATTTTGGTAAAAAATTAAATACTCTTTTTGTAAAATTATTCTAAATTGCCCCATTTAGTCCGTATTATTTTTTGATATATTAAGTTAGCTATCACAAATGTTACAGTCGATAGTATTCCGTGATTTAGCCGTGACTACATTCCTGGTTATATTCGTATTTATTTTAAATGTACCGAGATCCAGATCTGTTAAATCAAAGTCCTAAAGATCCACACTGAGCTTTTTCACAGATAGATAAATCGCATTCAATTATATCAAATGAAGGCAAATCCAATGTAAACATTATTTTTTCTAAATGCAAATTCACTGTGAAACCCATCCAGGCTTTCACAGTGAATTTGCAAACAGAATAGTTTTATTCTATTCGTTTAATTAATCTGTTGACATTATAAAAATTATTATCACTTTTTCTTAAAACTTAACTACAACTTTCTTTTATTTTCTAACTAACTTTAACTACTTTACTTCTAACTTTAACCTTCAAACTTAAACCCCAGTAAATTACTATAAAAACACTTACTTCAGCCCACTGATAAAACAATTTTCCCGCAAGACGTTGTCTCCTTGCTTGTGGACTCAAAGACACTACAAGAAAAAAAATATTAAGATTTTGGCTTTTTATTTGACAAACTAAAATAGATATAATGTATAGAAATAACTCACCAGCATTTTTGGACGTATTTGATTTTAGCCAGTAAGGCCACTGACCTTTGTTGCAGTTATGTACTAAGTGCGCACATTCTAAGAGAATCGCTGCTCTTCCAACGACTACTGTATGGGGCTAAGAATAACAGATTAATTATATTATTAAACGTTTTGATTGCGAAACTGACAAATTTATTAATGAAAAGAGAGATTTATCTCGATAAGTTATAAAGTAAACAGTCTGACGTACGTTAACCACACTCACCAAATCTAACAATGCAGCCATGAAAAGAGCGTCAGGCGTTCCTCCGGGTTGTGTCGCGTCTAACAGAAAATTGAACCTCGCAAGTCCCGCGTATAACGGTGCAGCGGCTACCAAACGACGACGTTTCAATATCACCACTTCAGATTCACCACCTCCTGAACCGCCTTCGGCAGAACCTCGGCGCGACATGTCTGAAAAGTTCATTTTTAAACTTGACTAGCTTTTGCCCGCGGCTCTGCTCGAGTGTATGTGCATTTATAAAAAAATAAGTATGGATTTTGTTTTATTATTTTCAGATAAACTGGTTCAGAAATCAAAATAAGACAGTGGGTGGGGCGGGATGGAGACGTAGTGTGAGCAATTTAAACGCCATTTTTTTTACGTGATAGGTTTGCAAACGAGTCAAGTCAAAACCCCATTCAAGAGTCACAAGTGCGTTGCCTCCCCCTCTCCCCTTGGTGACCCTCCGCCGTCGCCAGTGTTTTAGTTTCGGGCAGACAGCGCCGGTTTTTTGACTCGGCCTTAAAACTCTTATTATCGTAGTAGTAGTATAGAATAGAATTATCTTTATTGTACACCAGTTCAGTACATTATACATACAGTAGTATTCCAAGTTAATGACCATGTATAAATGGTGGCCTTATCGTTAAAAAGCAATCTTTTACAGGCAACCTTTGGACGGAAAAATACTGTAAATAGGTAATTTCATAGGTAATATAGTAGTATCAAGTCTTCTTATAAATTCACAGTATATTTTGGTCTTTTTCTCATTATAAACCCAACAAGGTATCTTTTAACTAGTAAAAAATATGTTATCAAATTTAAACCCTGCGATTACTAGCAGACTAAAACCTAGTTTGTTTGTTAGACTATTATATGTATTTAAAGATTCGCATCCGAGTGTCGCAGATATTTTCAAGTTATCACATAAAAATGACATTATTTAGCCATTAAGTATCTAATGAGGAAATAAAAAAGTTATTAATAAAAACTGAATACATATTAGACTTACATCCACCGCTCGTATCTTCAATACTACCATCCCTCTTCTTCCTCATTTTTCGAAGTCCAAATCTATTCAACCTGTCTTCCACTTGCTTGCGTGCCCTAGGAATGTTATAAGTACTATTGTTAACAACAATTTTTATTTATATGTGTAGATAGTGTGTTTTGAATATTAGTTAGGTACCTATTGAGCGTATATCCAACTCTTCGTTTGACGTGCACGGGGCGGCTCGTGTGCGGCGGTGGCATATGCGGCGGTCTAGCCAAAGAGACCATGCTGCCGGAGATCGGCAAAGACTCGCCAGAACCACCGCCATTGCGTATCAAAGATTGAGATTGTTGTGGTTTTTGGCGGAACCAGTTAACTGTACAACATTAAAAAATGTAATATTATTCATTACTCATGTGCAAACTTATTAGTGATATCAACTAAAATGTAGTAAATTTTATACTCGGCATAACATTAACATTTTATCAATGGAAAAATAGGAGCTCTGATAGAAAATAATTTTAGTAAAATTGAATGACGTAAATATTTATTTAGAGCCCCATAATTAAGATAACAAGGAATATCAATCAAATACTGAATAGGTTAATATGAGGTTATTCTTAAGGTGAAATCGAGTTTGAAGAAATGTATATATATTCGTAGTTACCGATGCCACTGATGTGAAACTTGGAGTGTATAGACTTAGAGTGTATCTTGTGGTGCGGCGTGATGTCGGTGGAGGAGCCGGACGGGATGGTGCGCTCCGACTGGCGCGGCGTGAGCTGGTAGCGCCGCGTGCGGACCGACAGCGGCGACTGGCTCGCTGACTCTTCGCCGCCTTCGGTTTCCAGGAGACTCTGTACAATAAAGTTACATATATACTATGCTTGCCGATATTATAAATGCGAACGTAACTCTGTGTGTCTGTTACGCTTTCACGGGCAATCCGATTTTAATGGAATTTGGCATGGAGTTACTTTGATTATTGGGGAAGGACATAGATTATTTTAACACGATAAACGACATACAAACGAAACGGGCAAAACTAGTAGTCCATAAATGATATTGTATCTGTCGATCATTTTCAGAATCACATCAGTGGTTAATAAAAATCACTTTTTGAAAAGTCACCAATTCCATTGACAAATATGACAAGTAATTTACTTTAAATTAAAATACTTCAGAAAAGTTTAAAGATAAATTTCAATCAGAAAGACGTTTAATTTAAAAGTGAACTTTACAACGTTACAGTTCTAATTTTGTTATCACCAATCATTAATTGACTGGAAAAAAATCGAAAGTCAGTCGATATATCGAATATAATGTCCAACGCAGACGTTCTCAATAACGAAATTCAATGTTTAAGTAGCCTAATCCCTACATATCTGTTTAAAATATAAATATATGACGTGTTAGTATTAACAGCAGTCGACATACATGTGGGCCGGTGGAAGACGTGCTTCGTTTCTTGAAATTAAACTTTTTGTGGGAGCGTTCATCAGGCGCGCAGCCTGAATCAGCTCCCGTGTCTGATCCGCGTTCTTCTTCACTCGCACGGGGGATGTGCCTGGCGGAAACAGTGATTTAACTACACTACACACACGAACACTAGCCAGTGACTCCGATAGCCACTTACGCAGCTGGCGCACATAATTTTTAAGATAATTATAGCCGTGACCTATGTGAACTAGGGGTTCACGGCTATAACTATCTTAAAAATTATCTACCTATATACCTTAAGATCGTTATATGAAAGTGGTTGACAACTATCTAACTAGTGATATAATTTATGAAAAACTTCAGGAGACATATAAAGTTATATAAATTAATATGGTTCTAATCTTATCAAAATCGTATTATATTTTTATTGGCATCTGGTTAAGAAATTAAATAGTTAAATAAATATGAGCATGAAGATTGAATGTCAGTGCGCTGAATTATACCTTCTATACAGGTGTGCAAATTTTAAAATTATAATAAATAAGTAAACATGCAATTGAATAAATTAGGCTTTCAGTAAATAGGAAAAAAAAAGAAATAAATAAATGATTGGTTGTATTCCAACTACTAACTAAATCACATCCTTTTAGTACTAAACGAGAAAGCATTAGATTCCGTCGAAATATCTGTAGATGACGCAATTATTGTTATGAATTTATAGAATATCTACTGGCCTTTTGTTTAGGTAAACTTAGTGTAAGCATCGGTGGTTCAGTGGTAGAATGCTCGCCTGCCACGCGGGCGGCCCGGGTTCGATTCCCGGCCGATGCAATTACTTTTTGGTATTTTATTTGTTTGTAAAACATATTCTTTTGCCTCTATAGAAACAGTTTTGAACCTTTGTGTATATTACAAAACAAATTATTCGGTTTATTAGCAAATAAGTAATGGTCTACCTGATCACTCTGGTAGTCTGCATATTTGAATCTTTCTGTTGACTGTCTGGTCTCTCAGCCGTATCCAACAAAGCGCTAAAAGCAACGATGCGGAATTCTCCACCATGAGCTTCTCTTACGTAACTCAATAACAGACGAACCTCTGTATATAATGCCTGTAAAAAAAATAATTATATTTTAATGGCTCATAACATTGGAGTCAAATAATAGACCTCCGTGACACACAATATGTAAGGTGTAATGTGATAGTGCTCACCGAATTGTCAAGCATCTTCAGTTCCTTGTGCATCAATGCGAACCGAGTAACAAGTACACGGAAAGTTGTCTCGACAATAAAGGTCTCTATTGCCCTGTTGGCGTTCGGACCCTGACCGGCGCCGAAATTAGTGGCATATCCCGTTTGTAAATTGCTGATATCAGGAGATTTTGTGCAGCCCCGTTTCTGCTGATCTGAATATATAAGCAAAATATATTTTCTAAAGTGAAAGGTGATATTTCATAGTTAAGTGAAATATGGTTAAAGTTAAGATAAAAATATAGTGTAAAACAATTTTTGTGAGTTGTCAAAGGTCTTGCTTAAAAGTTGACACAATTAGTCTCACAGTGCCAGGGAATTTTGTGATTGAGAAACAATTATCATATTAATAAGTATTATCTATAATTATATTATTTAAACACTTTAAACTTACTCATAGGAGAGACCAAAGTAGACGGCTCTGCACAGAAACCAACAGCTGCGTGCAAATTGTCAAGAACCTCTCTTATGGGCGAATACTTGGTCATTTCCTTTAATCGCATAGTGAATTTAGGTATGGAGGCAGAACGTAATTGGCGCAAGGAGTTTCGAGCCTGAACTCGTAGACATTCTGCCTGAGGACCGCGAAGCGCTGAGGTGCAGCCGTGCGAACAGCCTAATTGACGCAATAATCTAAAATAAAATAATAATACAAAATTTAAATACAAACATAAAATAAGGGAACTGTACAATCGCATAGCCACAAGGTTTTTAAGGGATAATTACTCGGAGCACTCGAAGAGCTGTACGCTCTCGATACGTTTAAAGAATTGTTTCAAACGACACGTAAAAAGTCTTTAGTATGCGATTTACTTTTTTAATTTTAATGTAAGTCTCTTATTTTATGAATTTTACATATAACTAATTCAAATATTATAAGAATGATATCGCTTTTGGATGGATAGTTCATTACCTCAATATAATTTGCATAATCATATAATATGGACAATCTAGGTTTTCTTCTTCCTTTGATTTGTCCTTGGCTTCTCCGTCTATGTTTGTTGAATCTTGGCTCTGAGCGCAAGGTATGCCGGAATCCCTTTCCTATAAATAATTAAATCTCGCATTTATACCTGCCACGTTACGCAATCAAAATTGAATCACTTGTGGGTTAAAATTTTGTGCATCTCCTCATTCCTGTGATCGAAATAATTGAAATTTGTACTTATTATATATTATATAGGGCTAAATAAAAAAATAAAAATGCAAATTGTACCGTGTGACACATCAAATCAAAAAATGCTTATTGTAATCTTAAATATATTTATTTATAATGTTAAGATTATTAGTTCGAAAGCCATTTAAGATATTAGATCAAAATTCACTATACCGCCTTTACTAATTCCCGATACTTCAAAATCAAAACTCTAAAATTCAAGAATAGAAAACACAGTAAACTGTGTTGGTGTTTACTTAAGTATGACAGGAAAATCTATAAGTTTATGGTATAAATACCATGGTAAATCTCTTTAAAGTAAAATGTTCATATGTACAGTCAAGGGTCATAAATGCAGTAGCATCGTAATGTTCATATTCGCACGCCGGTTCGGTGCCTATCTATGTGTGTGTGATGATTCAATGCACACACATATTATAACCAGATAATACAGACGTATAATGTTGGTTGGTCACATCCATGTGTGCACAACACTTAATACCTAGATACCTATTTATACGTTTTCAATACTAATATTTGTTTGCATTTTAATACAGATATTCAATATAAGCATCAGTAGCGATTAATAACACAAACTAAGTTCACTAACCGACGTCAAAAAATAAGTGTTTTTGAAACAATAAAATAGTTTAAAGTTAAAATATTTAATAAAAGATTTATAATCTTTGACGTTCGTTACAGCACTCAATCATAACCATATTCCGTAAATTCTCAAAAAGTTACTGTAAGGTTGCATGAGATTTGAAACGGCGGCATTTGCATTAGAACGTCCACAGCAGCGTCAGACAGTTGTTGATTGCATTGTGATATAACTTAATAGAATAAGGTTATAAGTAAAACTAGTTATAATGCTATAACTTTGTAAAAGTGCTACTGGACTTATGACCGCGACCGTCCAAAAAAGCGACTATTTAGGAATGTCTTTAATTGATCAGAACAAAGTATTTGTAATGGCGACAGGAGCTGAGTATGTAGACTTCATTGCTGCCAGAATGTGTAGTATCTTGTTTTGTGTTGGAGACGAAAGGTGAACGAAAGCCAAGTAAAGTTTTATCTTGACATTATTATACTTTTGCACTACATTCATTAATTTCCTCCTTTTTTTTAGACAGTTCTCGCATTAGGAATATATCCTGTGTCTTTGACTTTACAAACATACATGAAACGGACACAAAGAACACCCAGAATCAGAACAACAATTTGTGGATCACACAAAGTGTTGTCCCATGTGGAGATCGGACCCATAACACTCAGCGTAGCAGTAAGCGGCGTGGCGACCGCTTAAACCTATCCGTGCAGTCTTCTATTTCTTTAAAACTATTTGTTGTTTCAATCTGTGTAATTTAGATATTTTATTTTCTTTCGATGATTAAAAAACAACTGAGTAAAAAAAAGCTTTGATATCTTATTGTATATTATATACCACTTTGTGAAATCTTGCAACTTACCTTGCTATCCTTATCTTTATTGAATTCGGCTGTAGGGTCTACACCGCCTGGTTGAGTCTCATCAATGTTTTTATTTTGCCAATTTTTGTGTACACCAATTTCCATGAGTGTGTCTACTAAGTTCAACATTACTTCCATAACACGAAGAGTAATGTAGAAACTATCCATTGTTGATACAGAGTGCACAGCCTGAAATATTAGTAAAGTGTAATCAAGTCAGTAATTTTCGTAAAGTCAATTTAATTTTGAGACCCGCAAGGCTATCTAAAGCCAATTCCTCCAGTTAAGCCCATAGGCATAATTTGCTTTAGATAGCTTTCGATGTTGCCTTGCGATGTTGATATTTAAGCCATAGTGCTATGGCACTACGGCTTAAATATCAACAGACAAATAAATGTTGCCGGTGATCAATTTTCGATCATAATTAGATAATATGTTAAAGTGTTCCTTAACTACATTAATTTATTTATAACATAAAACAAAATCTTACATTCCAAAATAAGTTGAATTTTCGTTGTATGCTTTCTGTATTTCACTGAATTTCAACAGTTATTGAACTATTGAAATTCATATACAAATTAAAAAAATAAGTTAAAAAGTTTTCGATGAACCTTTTGTGATCAAAATTATTCCTGTCTTCATGTAACACTTTGCAAAATAAATGCAGAATCTAAGTAGAATATTTGTGTTTGAATGGAAATTTTAAAGTTAATTTAACTATACCGAATTTCCTCTTTGTGTGAAATTTTCTTAGAAATCGCATGAAATCTATAAAAAATCTTAACGCAGTAATACAATAAAATGGTCTAACGAGCTGTCAGGGATGTTATATACATAGTTCTCGAACATATTTAAATAATTAACATTGTAGAAGTGCTATGAAACAAATGTACCTTTAGAATAACTTGAAAATCGATATCACCGTCTTTTGTTATGTAATGTATCGAGCCGGGTGCCTCCTGTATTTCTTCTACCACATATGTGATGTTTGAGTCGGTCTGTGATCTCGTGAGACTAGGTTTTCGTTCTGGAGTTGGAATATGTTGAGAACCTTGCATACTGACTGAGTCTATCTGTGATTCAAGCGAACCCTGGAAGTATTTTATTCTTTTAGAAGCATTTTATTCTTACAAAAGACATAAATTCATAACTCTTTTAAATTTACTACAAGACTAGATCAAGTTTAATCTATAATTGACTTCGTTAACGATTTCATATATATATACCTGTCTCGTCTTTGAAAGATAATCTGGTGATGGTGCAGGTGTATGTTCTGTGACAGTTATAATAGGATTCTTTTTCTTGACGAAATTGACAGGCATTGTACTAGATGCGCCTTGAGCTCTCTCTGTTTTTACTTCTCCGATGTATCTGAAATTTAGAACGTTGAGATAATTATTTAAGTCTGTTAAATAATTATTTATACTTACCGAGTGGTTCTATTATATGTATTGATAATATAATTAATTTGAGTGTAATGTCTAGTTCATTTTAATTTTTATTATTTATTTCAAATGTAGTTTTATTTTTAACATAGGTTATTATTTAAGGTATGCTATTTGTCAACGCTTCACATTATAGATGTGTTTTGTAGCATAATTTGAATCATGCTAAATATGAGTTATTTTATTAAATAGACATGCTAAATTACTATCTGCGCTGGTGAAGTGTAAAGATACTATTTAAATTTGCAATTAAATACTTTCCTGAGATAAAGCATTCGAATTTAAAATAAATGTGGTTAATTTTTTTTATGTTCATGTATGATGATTGTAGTGGTTATCGAATCAAATGAATAAAAAATGGTGTTACTACTTAGATTTGCTAACGGTTTAGCTAACTACATTCTGTTGCTATGTTTTGTGTAAAAAACTAAAGAGCATTGTGCGTGCATACAATTACTTTGATTTTGTGTTAATGTCATTTCATTTTTAATACGCTTAGCTTTATCTACAATTTACAATATAACCTTCATCTTCCAACCAAATGTTGGAAGTAAAGAAAGTGGGTGAAAATTGACTTCCACAATATAAATATTTTGGAAGTCAATTTTAACCTACTTCTAACTATCGTATTAAAATGAATCTTTGTATGTATATGTAGTTTCGATTACCATAATATAATTTGGCATTTTAAAGCATATATGAAGATGGGGTCAGGAGGTGGAGTGGATTCTTCAGTGGCTACTACTAATCACCGCTCGACTTTGACCTCATACGATTCCTTTTGATGCCCAAACCCAATGTAAACTTTATAATTCAGTTCGATATTGAAATGTGTCTTTTAGTTTTTTCATTCTATCAAAGTAATTGTCTTATGTGCTGAAACAAGCTTGAATTTGGCAAAGATAATGGCCTCGCATGTACTTTAGAATTGGCAACAAAATACTACGCCTAGAATAAATTGTAATACTGGTTTGTGTATCACCATCCGGCGAGCTACACTAGCGCTAAATTATGAAGCTTCTAATGTCTTTGTTAATTTGCTCACTTACCCATTGGATGCTAGCTCATCAATCAGACAGCTAGCGATCATACCGTTCATCCGTTACAATAGTAGGGTACAAGCGTTAACAAGACCGGAGAAAGAAAATAAATATAATTTTTTAACAGTTAATTTATCACCCAGAATGTTGCGTTCAATAAAGAAACATGCTGTGCTCTGATAGGAAGGATATGAAAAATATTGTGATTGTGTGATAGAATTGGGTAGATGCCTATACTCAAAACAAATAATTTGGACAAGTTATTGCTAGGCTATAATTATGTTAAAATATGTAGTGTGAAATCGTCGACCAGTTCTACATTAATATTTCCAATGTATTTAATAATAATAAAATTAACTTCAAAAGGAATGTGTCGACAACAGTAAGGTGTGACGTCATGCCTAGTATATTAGCACATATAATTAAAAAATGTACCGAATCTACTGTTTTGATATTTATTGAATTTATACTGATTTGCCTTGACAGTCATCTACCCTATTGAAGACAAATATCCAAAGACAAATAGAACTATAAGTACTGCTGATTTTGGATTGAGAATAGCGGTTTACTTTACTAAGAATATTTTCAAAAAGGAATCCTAAGTAGGACAGAGGGAGAACTAAATAGGAATACGTAAATCGCAATAGTTACACTACGTCATAAAGGTGGGAGGAGTGTACACGAAACTATAATTGTATTTCTCCTCCTCTGTCAATAACTAGGTAAGAAAGATTTACGTTTGGTCTACGAATATTCAGTACCTATTTAATTCTACAATGTACATAAAAGTTAAAATTTAAAAATTATATTACATAATACGACTTTCTTCAAAACGGTAATAAATTAAGATCCACAATACTACAGTTTTTTTTAAATCTATTATCTTGTCAATATTTTGTAACTATTGAAAATAATATTAATGCCATGAGAAAGTATGAAAAACTATATGTTCTGAGCTAGGGAACTCACCTTAGGCTGGGCATACTTTTGCCTTTGATGAGGTTGCAATGGAATAGATCACCAGTGAGCCTTGGTGCTAAAGGAGGGAAGTTGCTGGCTAGTGCAGAATTAGGTCTGTCATCTGTATTGTCTAAACTCCGGTGGTATTCCTGAAATATTAAGAAAGTATGTAATATATTTATGACAGACAACTAAAGCCTATACACTACAGTTACAAACACCTTGTATAGCCACAGCTAGCATTTTCGATTTAGCATATATATGCAAGCGTGCTCAGAGTTGTGATATGTTTATTACATAAATTAAATTTTGACAAAAAAAGAAGCTTCTCTGACTATGATTTAAGAAGGGACTTGGCTTAGGTGTATGTGATAAAAATGAACAATATTTTTGAACACTACAGCAATAAAGAAAAATTATATAGCTACAGATATCATCCTAACTGCAGTATGAAACGAAAACTTGTCGTCGTGTCCAATTTTCTCAAGCGCTTTTTCCGATTTTGATAGAAGTTTTGTTTCAACAAAAGCTTTTAAATCCGCCATCTTCATTTTCCGTTTTATCTTTTCGCTGGACCTTCTTGTCATGAGGTTCTCTTCTTCTATCTTTGGAGGTGATGGGAAGGGCATTTCAGTTATGGGCGACATGTCCTTTACTTCTGGAATTTCTATGAAGTTTTTTAGTGATTCTCTTTCCTTCATATCTTGGCTTTGGTAAAGAGATACTTCAATTTTAGGTATTGGTAAGGAATTACTTCTTTTTCTTGGTTGAGTTTGTTTTGACATGTCGTCACATATATCACGCAGTCTAAAAGTAATTATTATTTATCACATTTTTATTATTTTGTCGTTATAGGTATGATATCAATGTATAACTTTTATATACATACCTATTATATAAATAGTGTAAAGCCCAGTAAACGCCTTCTTCTTGCCATTGTGACGTAAATAAACACCGCAGTGTAGCGACGTCTAAAAATGTAGCTGCTGATACCTAAGTAATGAAATAAATATTAGTCTCTAAAATTATATAATTGCTCTTTAAATTATCTACTGGCAAAAAAAGCCTTCTATAAGTTTTTGCACGCTCATCTCATTAACTTATGTGCGTATCCTAGAGGCTAGATATTCGAAGTTTAGGCAGCTATCTTTTAAGTAATAATAGTAATTGTAACGTGACATATCTTAAACACGGTCTTAACTTAAATTATACAATTACTTAAATTATACCCAGATACAGACCAAATGGTGATGCTCATCCAACAATTATTTGTCTTGGGTGAGAAGCCACAAGCTTGGACTCAGCAGTCCGGATCACTAACCACTAAACCAACATGACAGTCGAACAAAGTAACCAATGAATGGTTGAAACTTTGTTAGGGCTTAATTTGACGAAATTTGCCTATTCCCAGTGAGACACTGCTGTGATGGATTTTAGCAAGGCCCATTTGGTGGTCGTCCCCATTTTGTCATCTACTATTTATCGAGAATGCATCTATTATGGAGCAGCAGGAGAAAAATTATGTACACTGAACATATCCCAGCTGTTTGCCACCTACCTAATACAGAACCGAAAGCTTTCAGAGAAGCGTTAGTATTTAGAACCGTAAGCCTTTATTTGACGCTACTGATTAAAATTTTCATCATTAGTTACACAGGAATTTTGGAAAAGCTAAAAACCTATTACTTACATGCCCCTGTTTTGCAAAAGGCAGTTTTTCAGCTGTAGGTGTACCTTTAGGTCCCGGTCCGCCGCCGCCACTGTCTGATAGTGATTCCTTATCTGACGAACTGAAAACAATGTATTGTGACATTGAAGAATTTATAAAGCTAAAACCAATAAACTTCAGTTGTTTGAGACAGAGCTAGAAAATTCTGATAGAATCCTCACCTCATCTTGGTAATCTGTGGTAAGGGCTTGATACCCGGCAAGGGTTGATTGGATGCGTCAGTTTTCCGTGGTTGAAATATCTCAGGGTTGGCTGTATACACAGCATATTCTTTTATGGCTCCACCGAAATTTTGTTCAGAAGGTAGGCGGTAAATAAACTGAAAACAGCCAACCGTATGAAAAGAAAACAAAGCCGGCCAAGTGATCAAGCGTGGTCAAGCGTAGTTTTGGGATCCGTATAGTTGAAAGCTAAGTATTTATTTTCAGTCTTAGTATTTTTAGGACAATTTTATGAAGTTTATCTTTTATTTACTGCCAGATTTAAAAATTAATTTGTAGAGCAATCTTGCAATATAAACTTTTTTATTCTTTTTATGATATCTGACTATTGATTATTATAATATTTACGCCACAAGACGTTTATAAGTATTTCACTAATAAGTAAAATCCGTACAAGTGCGAGTCGGACTCGCCTATCGAGAGTTCCGTACACAATTTAGGTATATATTATAAATAGTTCAGGAATCGAATCTCGCAATTTTTTCTGTGCTCTGCCGGAACTTAGTTTCCAAAACCTATAATTACTTATATTCTTGAGCAGTGGCGTAGCTATGGGCCTGGGCGAAGTGGGTCGTCGCCCAGGGCCTCGCACTTAGGGGTGCCTCGCGAGGCTCCTTTAAATGCTATGCCCCTAGACTTTACCACAGATTACTAAAAAATTTGATCACATTTACGCTCGTAGAGTGTTTGTTTCGAGTCTCCCAAGAAGCCCACCTTAAGTGCGGCAGTAAGGTCATTGTAACTACCTTTAGAAACCGCGATCCTTAGATTGACGGAATATGAGACTTGTCAAGCAATAGCATTAGCTATGGGCAGGGGCGGATTGTGAAGTTTTGGCGACCTGTACTTAATAAATTGTTACTTAATAAATTCGGGGCCTTTTTATTGATGGGGTGGAAAATCGCTTTGGATGTCCAGCACCTTGTAGACGTGGGAATTGGAAGTATGTGGTTTCCTCTACGACGTCCGCCCACATGCGCTTAACTCTGAGAGGACCAGAACCATGTGATTCCAGGTCCTTTCCGGATCAATGCCGCATCTAACTAGGTCCTATCCCGGGAGAAGCTGGCGGGGACAAATCTCGTCTCATTTGATCTACCAGGAACTCCCGTTTAGACACCCACGCGCCCACCATTTCTCTTGCGCATTTCTGTTTGTGTCCCAGTTGGCTGCGCAGTGCTCGCATTGTTCCGTTTACTCATGTCCGATCAAACTCAGGTATTTACTGAAGCAACCATGCCCGAGGAGTCAATTGGCAGGTGACGCGACCTGCCTCCTTAGTTACCCACCCTTCCAGGCTTAGTAGAGGCACTAACAGCACGATGGCGCACATTCCGCGGCTAGTCCAGCCACGTGCCTTTTTATCAGTACCTGTGGGTGGGTGCTTCGCACATTTCGAGCCCGTCCTGAACCTCCCCGTTCCAACCACGACGGATATGCACGCTAACAATAGGCCCAGACCGCTGATCTTTTAGACGACATAAGCTATCACTAACTCGACCAGCTCCGAGTCCTCCTCCGCGTAACAGACGACACTCACTTCTATTGGAATACTAGTTTACGGGACTGCATTATGCCCGAGATTCCACAGAAGAAGTCCTAGGACGCTTGGGGAACCCTACTTGTAACCTATAAGAGAAATTGGACTTCGATGATTGATTACGTACTTTAAATAAAGACTATATTTTTATGATTTATTAACAAATGTATAGTTTTCAGATTTTTCCCTGTACTTCTAGTACAGGGTTTTCCAACAAGAGGTGTTATTTTAAATCACCCGGTATTTCGGTAGCTGTCACTTTTGAAGCTTTTATTTTTTGACATTTGACAAGTAGAAACTACGCCATTACTAAAAATGGAACGATACACACTTCAACAACGCATTGAAATTATTAAAATTCACTACAAAAATGGTGAAAATCTTGCAGTCACAGTTCGCAAAACTGAAGCATTTTTTGGTCGTCGTGAAGCACCTTGTCGGACCGCAATACAGAAATTGGTGGAAAAATTCGAGCTGTTGGGACAAGTTAGTGATGTGAAGAATAAAACCCGTGCACGTCGCTCAAGAACAACTGAGAATATTGCTGCTGTAGCCCAAAGTGTTGAAGAAAACGCAGGTTTGTCCATTCCTCGTCGTTTTTTGGAATTGGGCATTCCCCAAACGTCATTACACCGTATTTTGCATAAAGACTTGGGTCTTAAGGCTTATAAAGTTCAGTTAACACAAGAACTCAAGCCGGCCGATCATCAACAACGTCGTATCTTTGCTGATTGGGTACTTGAAATGCATGAAAATGATCCGGAATTCCATCGAAAAATCATCTTGACTGATGAGGCCCATTTCCACCTAGAAGGCTACGTCAACAAGCAAAATTGTCGCATCTGGGGCTCGGAAAACCCAAGAGTTATTGTTGAGAAGCCTCTCCATTCTCAACGTGTGACTGTTTGGTGCGGTTTATGGTCCGGCGGGGTCATTGGACCTTACTTTTTCGAAAATGAGTTTGGATCAACACTTACGGTGAATGGATTGCGCTATCGAGATATGATTAATGATTTTTTATTCGTCGATTCAAAACCTCAAAGATGGAATTCATGAGGCTATCGAGGACATAGGGCAGCCACTTTGCGATTTGGTTATGCAAAATTTCATTAAAAGGATATGGTCCTGTAAGCGTGGTCGTGGTAGCCATTTGGCTTATGTTATCTTCCATTATTAACGGCATACCTTCCTCTTTATTATTAAATAAACAGCCGATTATTTATCTTAAAAAATTGCATTTTTCTTTGAATACTAAAATAACACCTCTTATTGAAAAACCCTTTATAAGACGATGCTACTTGCCAAATGTCAGAGTTATAGGTCAATGGGAAGTGCCCTATGAATTATGATTCCCTCGAGATTATCGAAATATGCATTTTTTACATACAAATGACATAAACGACCGTATCTTTTTCTACGTTAACTTAGGCGTTTGATTATTTTAGAGCTTTAAGGGACTTTAGACCTGAGTATAAGTTATATATGGTTTTAAATTTAACACGATACTTCGACACGTTCCCGAGATAAAGGGTCTTGACAGACAGACAGACGGACGACAAAGTGATCCTATAAGGGTTTCGTTTTTTTCCTTTTGAGATACGGTACCCTAAAAGGACATAAGCATTTAAAATTATTAAATCAGTTCTCGATATTATCGTCACACACAAATTAGTACTAGACTTTTTAATTAGATGAGCAGTTAGTTTTGTTACTGGGCTCCCGGGCTCAAAATGTTTCATCAACGGCCTTTAATAGTCCACTGCTGGACATAGGCCTCCCCTTAGAAAGGAGAAAAAAAAAAAAAACTTTTATATTTCAATGTCGTGAAAAAAGGTTAAAAAAAAAAATTTTATCTCACCACATGTTCCTCTTCAGTGCTGGAGCTCTCTTCAGGAATCGTTTCAGGGAATATAGTGTCTTTAGGTGAAGATAACCAAGGTTCTTCTTCAGTGCTAGCTTGCTTAGATGTCATTTCAGATTGCGTCATAGATATATTCTGGCTTGGAGGACTGTTAGCTCCATTCACATTATTGCCTTCCTCTTTTGATAGCTTGCCTGTTAAATAATGCACATTGATTTTAAAATTTTATATTTAATGAAATTCATATAAATATGTTACAATAGTTTTGTTTTATTTTTAATCAAGTATTATAAAATGAGTAAACATATAGATTTGTACTTAAAGGATATACGAATCAAAGAGAATAAAATATAAAAAAGTACCCAATTTAAAATATTTTTAATTTGTCAAGCGACTGAGCGTATTGAGAAGACACTGGCATTAGGTTCTATAATAGATTTTTTTCCGTTATGGTATTTTTTTTTGTATTAAACACTTACTATATAGTTATATTATTTTGGATTTAAAACCGTTTTTATGTTAACGTTTCGTATTTATTTAAGTCTCTGCTAAGTTGTAAAGACTATTAATTTCCTTTTTTTTATGAGAAGCAAACATAAATCTTTTCACTTCGTGTATTATTCATATACATATTATATAGTATCATATACTCTCGTATTGTATATCTTACACTTAGCAAAATAAGATAATAATATATTATCCAAATAATAATAAAATATATTATTATAAATACTGTAGTTATGAAATTTGTCTTAACAATTTTAACATTATATTTTTCAAATAAAAAGCTCAGTTTCAATCAGCCACTTACAAACAATCAGAGTGTTTAAAAGTTGTCATAACATAGCGTACCCTTTGAATCTTTAGGGTATCAGACAGGAGGGAAATACAATATGATGGATTGTATAGAATATAAATAACATTGCCCAACGTCATGCAAGCACAAATGGCGGATCCGAGGAAAACCAACGTTTTAAAATTACCAGCAATCATAACAATCAATCTAATCCTTCTTTTAGGAACCTAATTTATTAGATATTTGAATTAAGTTACCATGAAGATCGAGGCCTCTCCTCCTTCTTCATATTTTTAACTGACTTAAAAAAAAGAGATTATCAATTCTCATGACTCCGTCATTAATGAATCGATTCGGATTTTTTTTATTCGGGAGGGTATAATTTTCGCTAGGTAGGTAACATTTACCGATTTATGGAGGATTGGCTTGAGAGGCGTCACGGAACCCTTACATACCGGCTGACGCAGGTGATCACCGGGAAAGATTGTTTCGGCGATCACCTGTGTCTGATCCGCAAGGAGCCAACGCCTGAGTGCCACCACTGCGTTGGCCGGACCGTGGACACGGCCCTCCACACGTTGGCAGAATGACGGGCGTGGCTGGAGCAGAGGCGTGACCTCGTGGTGGCCATCCGAGTGGGAGTCCTCTCGATCGGTTGTATGATTACCGCCATGGTACGGAGCGAGAGTGCGTGGAACTCCGCCGTCTCCTTCTGCGAGCAAGTTATGCTTGCGAAGGAGATGGTGGAGCGGGACCGGGAGAGGTTTAGAACTCTCCCGGCCCGCCAGGCTCGGGAACGGGCCAGGTACCGCAGACGACTCGGACGCCGGAGGTCGTAGAACGACCTCCGTCCTCCATAGGCGCAGGCCTGGGGGTGACAGGTGAGGCCATCTGTCATCCTAGCCGGGGTGGCCTCACCTCTAAAGGCGGATGATGAAGAATACAGTTTACTATACATTAAGTAAAATTCGGTTGTTTTTTTGTAGTTAGGTACTTATGGAAATTAGTTTTATGGATATTACTTAAGTATTACTTATATTACTTAAGTTTATTTTCTACTGCTTATATATATATATTTTATGTAGATACGTAATCCTATATACGTAATATTATATTGTATTAAAATAAATAAACGTTCGTTCAAATTGAAAAAAATAATTATGTAATAATATCAGATTAGATTGATTTATTAATTTCTGACGTAAACCAATGTCCTCATAACCTCGAATGCTGGATTTACTTTGAGAGCAAGTGTCAAATACCAAAGTTATAGATGCCATATACAAGTCCAAGATTCATGCTACCTATTAAAGCAAAGAAAAATACCATATATTCATTGTCAATAGTAATGAAATTACTAAAGAGTAAACATGATGAGTTTCTCTACATACGCCCCATAAACACGTCGCCTGGCTGATGCCTCTTGGAATACTTGCCACCAAGAGGTTTGGGTTTGGGTTTCACGTGTGTAGTGAAACAAGGCGCGTCGGGATGTCTGAACTCCCACATTGCTTGCCATATCTTCAGGCCGTTCTCTAAGCGGAAGTTGCTGCTGAAGTCTGACTCCTTCAAATGATGTGAAAGTGGCGCAAACAGAAAAACAAAGAGCTGAAAAGAAAACAGATTCACAAACATCATAAACATCATAAATCACTGCGTGCAATATAGGAGGCTTCACATTTTTTTTGTTTTTTTTTATAGTTATGCCTAGTGTTGTAAAAACGCTCGAGTCGGCGTTCGAGCAGTCAGTAAACAACCGAGTTGGAACTCGAGCCGGGAATAAAACGTTCGAGAGGGTCAAACTGGAATCTTTAACGATTCGAGCTTGAGTAAATGATATTTATTTCAATCTTTTCAGATTCTTTACAAGTCTGACTTTACAGCTAGAAGGAGCCGGCATTTCCTGAGACTCACTCTGGGAAGAAACGGCGAAACAAACCACAGAGGTGTCTTTTTTAGGGTCTGGGTAGGCTTTTTGAAGAAAGGACCATAGTTTTGAGTCGGCTTGTCTATACGGGCCCTAGCCATCGTGTAGCTTAACCGATTAAGGTCAACGACCCGAAGCATGATACTACCGCCAGCAGGACATTTGGGTAGGCCTTGGAAACACTCAAAACCACAAGCCTACGCGATACTAACATTTACATACCTACACAAAAAATATACTATACAATTCAAATTCAACGAAAAATAAACAAATTGAAAACAACCAAAATATGAAATATACCAAAAAATAAAAATTAAATGTCCATCACTCTCAAACATAACAACAATGATAGGAACGTAAATGTGGAAGTGAGCAGCAAGCAGTTGAGTAATTTTAAAATAGAGTTATTAATGTATTTGTACACTATATTATTCCAAGAGTGTATTTTATTATAATCTAAAAAAACAATATGATTTAGCATTTTCTAACTGTGTAAGCAAAGTTAAAAGAAATTTAAAAACTTATTTTTTGTTATTTGAAATTATATTGTATATTGTAGAAGATTCTCTTACAAAGTATGGTGTTATAAACATCTTATATGCGATTTTTTTTTGTCTATTTCTTCTATTAGATATGATCAGGTCAGCTTCGAAAAATTGGAACAGCCATCATATTTCTGTTCCAAATACAACTGTGCTATTTTAGTTAAGTTTGACAATAAAAAATCATAACAAATGCTTCGATGCTTGAACTGGCAGATTGAGGGTTTAAGTTGCGAGTGCAAGCGTTTAACGCTCAAAAGCGTCGACTCTTAGTGCTTATTTTTATAACACTAGTTATGTTACGCCAAGATAAATATTAAAAACTTGTACTTCTGAAATTTGATTTGCTTCAAGTCAATCACTCAAATGTTGTGATCAAAGAAATCACTTAAATGTTTTTGTGTGAGAAATGTTTTTAGCATAAATTAGTGGGTAGTTTCCACTAATTTATGCTAAAAACATTTCTCACACAAAAACATTTAAGTGATTTCTTTCACAATTATAAATAAGATAAATTAGCTGTATCATAAATAAAATAAATACTTACTGTCAAAGCAGGTATTGTAAATAAGTAATGAAAAGGGTTTGCATAGAATATTCCATTCTCATAGTCAGCTTCGGCACATTCATCAGATGCATCAAGTATAATCCAGTGCAGTGTGTATAAAAGTTTTGTTTCTATAGTTGCTAATGATTGCATATTGTCCTTCACTCTGTGGTATAAAACTGACTGTTATTAAGTGGTACTATAAAGTAAATATGAGCTAACAAGCTCAATTAATATAGTTATGAGACTGAAACTTGCCCATAAGTATATATTAATTTATGATCAAAATAATTTATTGCAATTTGAAATACCAGGACATCAAAGTTTGAGTTAAAATAATAATATAGGTTTGTAAAATCTAATAAAGTGTGGACAACGATAGGCTGATGATGATGAATCATTTTCCAGTTAGATACTTTCTGTTGTATAGACTGCTTTTGCTTGAATTCTGATGATTACCTGTTGTGTAATAATGCAGCTAATGAGTGCATCACATGTGGAAGAGCTGCTTGAATAAGTCTCCATCTTGGTATAGACTCTATTGCTTCAGTTAAACTGATTGATAAGCCAAACCGAAGATTTTGAACAATCACTTTTTCAAATGACTGAAATGATAAAATTAAATAATTGTGTTTTTCAGGTAGGATAATAGACATAATTGTTATAAAGGAGTACGTACAACATGACATTTTTTACATTTAACACACATTTTTCACATTTCAACCATGGATTATATTCATATTTTGACACCAGAAGCCCTTTTGCTTTGCAAGTCCTAAAGTTTACAAAAGGTTTAAGTCCCTTATTACTATTGAAAACCAAAAAACACCTTATTGGATTGCTTTTAAAGAATTTGTTCTATTTAATTACTGAATTATAATTTGACAAAAACAGTGACTGGTATTTATATATTTTTTAAATAATGTCATTTACCAGCGTTTTAGTCACTAAATAAATATGCCTGTATGTTTATCCTGTTAGCACCACTGTTTAGTAAGAAAATCTATTGACCTTAATATTTATTCAACAAGTAAATAGTATAGATTTGACATGTTCAGTTCTTAGGGAATTTATGCTGCCTGTATGTACGTATGTTATATTAAAATATGAGCTGGCATCGTTTCTAATTCAAACCGATTAATTTACAATAATTTTATACAAATTTGTTAGCTCATTGTGTTGCTGCTTGTTGTTTTTGCTTTTGCTTGATTTTTTTAACCCAGTATTACATGACTCTTACCTTACACGCCTCCTTAACTTCCTGAGAGATTGTTTAAAAAGAAAAAGAAAACATTTTGTATTAATAAAGTGCTTTGGAGTTTGGCGCCAGTCAAAAAATGTAAACATAAACAATGAATAAATTGTCATTCATTTGTCACCTTGACAGTCGGCACAGCGGTCTCGAACGTCAAAATGTGCAATTGACAAATGGTATCGGTTTGACATAATGACCAACGTTAAAACATAAAAGAAAATATATTTTCAAAATGAGAAAAAAAAAATGAAACAGGATGAAAACCGACGTCAGTTTTTATTTTAATTTTATTTTTAAATTATTAATTACATCTAGATTTTATTGTTTGAAGCAATACTACGTTATTAAGGGTTACATTACAGGATATTACTTAATTGTTTTATGGGGTAAAAAGTAATACTATATCCTGAAGCATCGAACCACAATAATAGCAATGCAAACAAAACGCAAGCAAAGAACATAACTAATAAAGCAAATCTCTATCTATCACCATTTAATTAGAAACTACAAATAGGATATATATAAATTATAGTTGTTACAAATATATCAAAAACACGGAGGATATTCTCTCTGGTTAGCAAAACAAGTTGTATGAAAATTTATAAAACGCTGAGTTTGCTAGACTAGTATTTAGAGATCGGTATTAAAACTAAATACAACTTGTTATAAACTGCTAAATTTCTCACAGTTGTGCATAATACAATGCCGTAGGGTTGTAACTTATTTCTTATCGAGTTCAATTGCCACCCAACTATGCAGATTTTTTTTAATGGAATGAGCGACCAAGTGCGAGGGGGTTAGGAGTGAGGTTAGGTTGACTCGCAGAGACTCACTAACTGAAAAGCAACGAATGAATGCCTAACAGTGATTTTCTGTAAGACTCTCACTCTGAAGAGACGGTGCTTAAGTGCCGAACCATTGTTCTTCATCGGTGTAAATCAATTTAAGGGGACAAATTAAACATTTAAAAGTAAAAAACTACATTAAAAGACGAGTAGGGCTCCATTTTGTTTTTTATTCAATCATCAAATCACATCATATCCATTTTTTGATCACACCGACCCTGACCAGTAACAATTATAAATAGGCAGAAGTCTCATGTTGGAGACAAGATGCTAGTTATAACAATTTGCCTAAATGATTGTTTTGTAATTGTTTAATAAGTCTCGGCTCACCGATTCGCGGGTACAGGCGTTAGTATAGGTATTTATGTATGAGGGCTTTTTCCTTTCATTGGTGAATTTCTACTTTTTTGAGGCTCGGGTTTAAGTGAAAATCAAGTATGTGAGCACATTGTAGAGTTAGGAAATCCTAGCCAGGTAAGTCTATGGATGAATAACCATTCTGATCACATTCAGACTGCCCGTCGGTCTAGGTTATCATATGAACATTTGTGGCAATTGTTACGGGTAGTTGGAGCCCTAAAAAGTAGACTAATAGTCTATCTATAGAACGTCGATATCGCCTAGTACTTGGGCCGTGAAGGTCTGATAGCAATTGCGTCACGTACAAAGTCGAAGTTCAGCTGTGTCTTGAAAGCCGACCCAAACCTAGTTTGGGAGAGGGCTAGGAGGATGATTATAGTTAACATCAAGTTGTAGAAACTTTATATATCTATAAATGTAGAAAGTGACAGATTGATTCACTGACTGATCGATCAACGCACAGTTGAAACCACTCAGTGTAGAAGTATGAAATTTTGCACAAATGTTCCGAAGGTGACGTAGGTGTGCACTATGGGTGCAAAATGGGGGTTGGCAATTTATATAACTTCGTTATTTTTGGTAGTAGCATTATACTCTTTATAAGAACAAATGAAACAAGTTGTTAAGTTTGTATAAAGAACTACTTTTTTTTGTCGTATCCAAACTCTTAGTATTGTTACGAGCGCGATATATAGTAAATAAAAGTTGTCGGTTAATTACTTTTATTGCACTGTATTTACAAACACTCACTATAACAAACAAGAAATCACTATATAACGCGTTAGTCGCACTAGAAATCACTTCGATGTTAAATCGCTGTGTAGTAAAACGATACTGTCCCGTACGGCCAACACGCTCCGCTTTTATAGGGCTATCGAAATTACTAGACCAATCCGAACATCCGATGGAACCTTCCAGACAGGATCCCGTACAATTAGACATCTAGAAACCTCCATAATCCTCCGATACTCGACACTAGACGGCACTGCAAGCAAGTATCGGAATCAAAAACCATAATCGCAATGCGTAGCGTTGTGCCCTACTTGATACTAAATGGCGCTTTTTTTTTTTTTTTTTTTTTTTTTTTTTTTTTTTTTTTTTTTGGGACTAATCCCACCCACACGCCCACCACTGTAACTCCTGTACACCAGGATCCACAGCAGTGACCCACGAACACACCGAGTTATGACACTCGGGAAGTCCCAGGAAGAAATTAAACTGTCTTGGAACCCGCAACGAAATTAATCAGAAGAAAATTGGAGGAGTTGGAAATACAGTAAATCCACTTCCCTCCTTAGCAAAGCGGGAGACAAAATGAAGTAAAATAGGCATACACCCTTTTAAACAGGGAAGCACCACGGCCACAAAATATTACGGGTCCTACATGAGCTATATTTGATTTCTATAATATGTATGGCAGAATCGCCTAAACGCACGGAAATTCACTCTAGTTGACACAAGATCCCCATAGTATACCGCCCCAGATGTCACCTGCAAGCTATTCAGCATTATATTACGTTCATTATACCAAAGACTACATTCCCAGAGGATATGATGAGCAGACTGTTCATAATGAGAGTTAGGTGTTGAGCATTGACACAATGGTGACTCGACTAATTTAAATGAATACAACTTGCTCTTAAAGTTACCATGACCCGTAAGAAATTGAGCGACATAGTGATCCACCTCAAGCCATGTCCTCGACAACCGTTCGCGAACAGATGGAAAAAATTGGTAAAGATGGCGCCCCTTGGATGATTCGTCCCAGCGTTGCTGCCATTCGTCTATGAGGTCATTATAGACATCGGACTGCTGTTGAAGCAATCTTGTAATTTTACCGCGATCCCGCGCGCCCAAGAAATCGCATTCCATGTTTTGTCTTGAATAGTACATGGCTGCACGTCTCTGCACCTCGAGATCGACCGGAAGGACACCCGCCAACACCGGCAAAGCCTCAGTGCTAACCGTCCTATATGCCTTGCACAAAAATATCAGTGCTAGTCGTTGGCCTTGTAACAGTTTGCGACGGACAGCGCCTACGGTCGCCCTATCGGCCCATACAGGTGCACCATAGCACATAGAACCTAAATAAGTAGCTCCGTATATGATCTTTAATGTTTTAAATGATAGACCCCATGTCGCAGTTGATATCCTTGTCAATGCACAGAAACTCTTTTTAGACTTTTCATTAACTATTTTAATATGTTCGATAAATGAAAAGTTTCTTTCTAAAACTAATCCTAGATAACACACTGTGGTTTTATTTTTTACAGTAACATTGTCAAATCTAATGCTCGGCGGTGATTTGAGGTTACCTTTTAAAAGTAACTGGAAGGTTTTGTTGGGTGCAAAAGTTAAGCGATTACGTTCACCCCATTGAGATATCAAGTTCAAACATCTATTGGCTAATCTCTCAAGCCCCGCCCTAGTATCAGATTCCACCAGTAATAAGCCGTCATCAGCATACGCGTTCAGAGTACATCCGGATGGTATTGGTATCGTAAGAAAATCGTCGAAGCCGATATTCCACAAGTATGGACCTAGCACCGATCCCTGAGGACATCCCATTGTAAGCGCCTTCGACACAGAATGATGACCAAGTCTTAGTTTAGTTGTACCTTGTGAAAAGTACGAAGAGATAAGGGAATAAATATTTTTAAAACACCCCCGTGATTTTAATTTCAGCAACAGCATGGGCCACCATGCGTTGTCGAAGGCGCCAGATATATCTAAGAAAATAGCCAGCACGTATTGACATTTTGACTCTGTGACAAACTTTCTAACCGATATAACAGCGTCAGTTGTCGATTTACCCAACGTAAATCCAAATTGTCTATCATGAAATTTGACTCCACCTGGCAGAAGCCGGGGCACTACAAGACGTTCTAAAAGCTTTCCTAACGATGGTAACAATGTGATTGGTCGGTAGGATTTAGGATCATCCGGTGGCTTGTCGCCACTTTTTGGTATTATACGAATATTACCGCACCGCCATATACGAGGAAATATTCCTTCAGCAATGCAACGTTTAAAGACAGTGAAAATCGTGTCACCCGAAAGTTTACAAGCTTCTTTTATCATTTTGTTAGATATTTTATCATCACCCGAAGCCTTGTTTAGCGGCAAGGATCTAATGATACCGAGA